TGGTAGCACTCGCGGACTCGAAACCGAAAATGCGAAAACCGAATCGAATCGAATCGAAAGAGAATCGAATCGAATCGAATCGAATCGAATGGTATCGAAACGAAGCCACTACTCGATTATGTGCCGATTACTTGGCGATTTGAATGGCTTTCTTCCAGGATTGGCATTGTTCCTCCGGCTTTCGGGATCTCGTTAATTTGGCTTATTCGCCACCGTTGCTGCTGCCACCGTTGCTGCTGCCACCGTTGCCGTTGCCGTTGGTGCTTCCCCGATGATGGCTGGCTGGCCCATCCACCAGCGCCGTCGGCCACTTGGACATTTCCAGCTCATTTGGCGCGGTATTAGGGTGTGATTCGTGTCGTGGTCCGCCTGCAATCGTGGAGAAAGCGGAAAGCGAAAGGAAACGGAAATTCTTTTATGGCTTTTCAATAAATTTGCAACAAATTATGGTCGCTGGTGGTTAGTGTGTGCGTGTACTTGTGTGTGCGGGTGTCTTTATAAGTGTACAGTGTGTGTGTGTGTGTGTGGCTATAGGTGTGAGTGGGAGCGTGAGTGTGCGTGTGCCAGGGTGATGGATGAAGTGTTTGCTCAAACTGCCGATGGGATTGGGGTTGGCCAAATAAACCTAGTTCGCAGGCCTCGTCTTCTTCTTCTTCTTTGCCGTGTACAGTGCGTTTCAGGACTTTAAAGTGGGCCATCGATCGAGTGCAGTTGCCCTAATGAGGTCACTTACTTAATGCAGTAATCAAATGACGTCTGCCGTTAATCAAGTGCTCTAAAGGCTTCTTCATACTTAATTAGCTAGAATTGCATGCTGATAAGAAACTTTTATCTTGGATTTCCATCCATGAACTTTAGGCTCAAGATGTGTGTATGGAATAAGCAGGTTTTTGGAAAAATTGATTCTTAATTTACACGCATTTCAAATTTCAAATAAATGAACTCCCAGAAAAACCATGTGAAATCTGTGGTGGAATTAACCAAGTTTCGCTAGCTCAAGATCAAATGAAAGTTGCGGAATCTTTGCAATCTTCTAAAGTTCTTGATATGTTCGTTGCACAAAAATCTGGTGATATATAATCCCCTGTCCCAATTTGACCCAACTTTCGCATCCTGATTTATTGGGCTTGGTGCTTAAAGCGGCAAGTGCCTCGGCGTTATATTACTTTATCTTTTATCCTTTCGCATATTGGCTTACCTGCCACCCACTTTCAGCCCCCTCCCCTTTTCCTGCCGTTCGCCTTCGTATTGTTGATGTTCTCCGCAAGGCTTTTTAAACTTGTCATACATTTTGATAAAGAATTCGCCTTGTTCCCTCGAGGGCCTGAGATGCTGTCAGCACCGCCCCTTTCCCAGCCCCTTTCCCGCCCCCTTTCTCGCCCCCTTTTCGATTTCCCCCACCTGGCTTTCCACCCCCTTTTCGGCCCCTTTTTTTACCGCCTTTCCTGGCTTTTCCGCCACTTCGATGCTGACGGGGCGTGCAAAATTTTGCACATTCAACGGCGGGTGGCAAAACAGTCTACCGTTTCCCGTCTCCCGTCTTCAGTCTTCAGTCTCTCCTCTCCTGTCTTCCGACTCCTTTCCTCCGGCTATTGCCCTCTCTTTTTCGCATTTTCGCTGGCTCTTTAACCAAATTCGCATTCTTCGCAATTTAAGTGAATTCCTGTGCTCCGGCAGCCCGCGGGCCAAAATGCTGCGCGACTTGACTTTGTCTTTTGTACTTTTATTTCATTTCATTTCAGTTCGTTTTGCTTCGCTAATGGCAGAAAGTTGCGCCCACACAGAGAGAAACTAGCCCATAGTAAACTTGTTTTCGTCCTCAATTGCGTATTCTCCTTTAGTCAAAAACTCCGTTTGGCAAGAGCTTCTATTAGCCATAAACCCGACCGGAATGCAAGCTACGTATTCCTTTTAAAAGTATTTAGTATAACAAAATATTATATCCATTTCTTGTCCTCTCAGATAATGTTTTTTAAAGTCTTTGTTAGTTTAACTAAGAAACAATTTCAACATATCCTTAGCAAACTTATTTGAAGTTTTTTAAAGTTTTAAAAGTTTTTTATAAGTTTTTATTGGAAATATCCTACCTTGAAATGAAGTTTTTTGATCGTAAAAGCCGACTTGTTCTAACAAATCTTGGCTTCAGTTCAGTTTTAGGTATAGGAGATGCAATACTAATTTTCATAGGCAACTAATAGTGATTTTGATATAGTTTGAGTGAAAAAACTGTAGTGGGAATTAAAGCTCTACCTTTTCCGTTTGGGCGGAACATTATTAACAATTATTATTAAATTTGTTTGTTCCCAAAAATGTTTGATCTTTCTGCGATAAAATCTTCCCTAATTAATGATGACGTTCGGTTTGTTAGAAGTTTTATCTGTGTGTAGGGGAGTTCAGCGGCAATACTGCAGCCGCCCACCGAAATTGCAGGGGAGTGGGTGGAAATCCAAAAGTTTGAACTTTCCTCCTAGCTTCATTTTCCATTTGAATTTGCTTAACTCGGCTGTTTTGCATCTCACGGTGTTTGTTGTTATTTTATGTGTTTTATTAAACAGTTGTACGGCTTAGGTTTGGACCATTAAGGAAAACCCAAGCCCGCTTGACTGATGCTCGGCTACACACACATGTGCTCGGGAAAATGTTCAAGGACATTTCCAACGGCAGTGCGCAAAAAGGGAAATATTGCTACTCAATGGATCGCCAAAAACATCGCACACACATGTGATAACCATTAAATTAAAATTATACCAAAAATATCAGAGGAAAAATTAAAATAATGTATTACAGCCGACCTGCAATGTTATGAATATGAAAATCGTTTTTAACGATGCGACGCGACGCGCAAAATATATAAAGAGATTCGAATGAAAAAAAAAAAAAACAGGTTCTATGATTTTTTGGCTTAGTATTTACGTCACAACAATTTGATGGCTCTTTAAATATTAATAAAAGCAAGGGGAAAATGGGAGCATTATGATCGGGACGGGCACCTACCTCAAAAAAATGTATTAACGGTGAAGTTAGAAATTTATTTTTTTGGATTCTTTAGATTTCAATTAAATTTCTTGTTCGCGTCGCGCGCACTGGAAAAAAATGTAAAAAAAAATAGAAGAATTCGTAGGAGGCTGCGACGGTTTTAGCGGACTTTTGGCGACGGTTTCGACCACGAGGACAACGACGACGAGGACGACGACGACGGTCTACTAACACGGCTTAAAAGGGCGGCTCAATGGTCGTTTGGTCTTCCGGCTGCTGTTGCTGCTGCTAGTGTTGCAGTGCTGCTGCTGCAAGAGTTGCTGCTTTTGTTGCTGTTGCTACTCTTGCTGCTCTTGCTGGTGTTGCTGCCACAACTTTTGCTGCTGCTTCTGCTGCTGCTGCTGCTGCTGCTACTGCTACTGTTGCTGCGGGTTGCGTGTCGCGTGTCGCGGCTCTGTACATCGCGCCGTATACCCAACGACTAGGCGCTGGAGACCACAGTGTGCGGAGCGGAACCCAGAATCGCAGCGCCCGAATATCGCCACCGACTCGTGTCCGAAAATCCGACCGTCGACGGTCGACGCGCGATTCGCCTCTTCCGAATCCGTATCCGAATCCGAATCCGAATCCCAGTCCGAATCCCAGTCCGAATCCCAAAACCAAAACCAAAAGCAAACCAACCCGAAACCGAAACCGACTGCAGCCGCCAACGCCGACGTCGCTGCCGACGTCGCTGTCAGCATCGCTGCCTCCGTCGCAGAGAGATGCTTTCACCTTGCCTTCCCTTCGATTCGATTCGATTCGGTTCGGTTTTGCTTCGGTTTGGTTCGATATCGAAAAAGCTCTCGCAGCAGCGCAGCTTTGAAGGTCAGCGGCAGGCAGGCGCAACAATCGCGGCCCCCCTTCGCCACCCCCACTTTATACCGGTCCAGAGCGGCGTGGAATGTGGCATCCTGCAGAACGAGGACTCGCGGGTGGAAAGTGGGCCACGCCATTCGGAGCGAGGCACCACCGCAGCGGAATGCAGCAGATTTTCGAACTTCCACGCTTCCACACGCGCCGAAGCTCTTCCAAAAAGCTTCGCCAGGATTGAAACCGTTAGGAGGATGTCGGGAAACAGCGTTCATTAAACATTTTTGATATTTTAAATGCTTTTATGTCCTTAATAATTAGTTTTATTGTTATAAATTTAAATGTTTGTAATAAAACTCTACGCGGGCAGAAGTTCTTTTAAAAATGTTTGCAAGAAACAAAGACCTCCAAGGGTTGCCTGAAATAAAGATTCCTGCCAAGTAAAATGCCTTATAAGATAATTTTACATTTTGTAACTAAAATATTTATTGATAACAACTCACAGTAAGTAAGCATTTGTAAAAATTTAAAAATGTTCAAAACATTTGAAAATACATAACGCGCGTTTGTTTAAAATATTTAATGTTCACTGGAAGTCTCGCCTATAAGTGATACAAAAGCTTGAAGACCAAAGCTTTTCGCCGACGAAAACTTTTAGTTAATAGTTTCAACTGAGAGCAACAGTTATAAAAAGTTCTCCATCTTCTGGCAGGGAACGGTTTCTGAAAAGGGTAAAAAATAAACTGCTTTCTATGCATGATCATTCCTTTGTAGGCTACGAATTTAAGCATAGGCAACTATTAAATATATAAACTATTGAGTTTATGCCTTAACTTAAATATTAAATTATCTTCAATATTTATTATACATATGTATATAATATATATTATATTATAAATTGCATTCTACAGGGTACGTAATGGGTTGCTAATAATCAAACGAATAACGAATTATTGTAACTGAGAGCAACCGTTAGCTTGGTTCTATACTCTAAATTGAATATTTAATTATCTTCAATATTTTTTCCAGATATATATATAAACTTAATCGTATAGGGTACGAACAGGGCTGGTAATAAACAAACTCCTAACCATTTCCGGCAACTAACAACAGTAGACATGGCGACGGAATAACAAATCGGGGCAAACCAACAGCTGTCAGTCGGAGCGAAACCGATCGAAACCTATCCACATACAGCCGGGGCAACATCGCCCGATTTCCGGAATGTCCAGCCAGGTGCTCGCCAAGAAGGGCCAGTCCAGAGGAGGCGAGGATAAGAACAAGGACAAGGAGGAGGACAAGGACAAGGATGAGCGGCGGATGAAGAGGGAGGCGCAGAGGGGACGGAGGCAGTCGGCGGGGGACGCCGAAGCCTTAACCGAGAAGCGCTTGACCGAGGATCGGGCGAGTGGCAATTCGATCGACCGCCTCGGGAGCGACGCCACCGCCCTCACGGATCGGGTGAGCGATGCCAACGAGGGAAGCATCACGGGTGCGCCGGAGAAGGGCGGGTTGATGGGGAAGAGCGGCAGCCAAGTCACCTACGGGGGCAAAAAGATGTCCAAGATCAGGCTGAACATCAACGCCAACAAGTCGATCACCTCGACGACGGCGGGAAAGTCGCGCAACGCCAGCACCACGAAGATCACCACCGGAGCCTCGCTCATCCCCGACCTCAATCTGATCATCAACCGGATGCGCAGCAAGCCCGACGACTCCTTCGTCTACATGGACTACATGCTGCCCCACGACAGCGAGTACTTCACCCCGTACAGTCTGCGCCTGGTGGAGTACAAGGAGCTGAACACCTACGAGCCCTTCTACACGGTCACCCGGCACGGGGTCACCTTCTGGCACTGCTCCGAGAACTTCTTCACCCCGCTCGACCAGTGGCAGCAGGAGTTCGAGCAGTTCCTCAGCATCATCCAGATCCGCTCCTTCTCCATCTTCCGGTTGTGGAAGGGATTCAAGGTATACTCCAATAGTCCTACTGAATTTAGGGAAGCTAATTGATTTCGTGCATACATCATTGTATTTCATTCAAGGTCTGGGAGAAGACGATCAAGTGGCGAAAACTAAACGAGGCGCGCGACTATCTGCAGAACAACCTGTTCATCGTGATTCCCCAGTTGGCCAAGGCGATCCTGCGCATGCGCAGCGATATTGTTCAGTTGCAGCGGCTGAACTTTGTCAATGTCACAAACATCGAGAACTGGCATCCATTCTACTTCCTAGAGTTGCACATGCGGATCTACGAACAGCTGCACAAGACATTCACCGACTTTCGGGAGTTTATTGGAACGACCATTTGTAAGTATTGTGATCTATTTGGAAATGCTGATAAGCTTTTTGAATTCATTTAAAACTGTAAATACAATATTGACATCAAGACCTGAAATAACAACTTTACACTAAAAAAAAATAATACAAAATAGGAACAAGACAAAAGTAATCGAACATTTTACTGCACCATTAAAAATTCACCTCTAATAATGTGGGTGTCCTTAAGAATTTACTTGTATTTTTTTTTAAGTTCGAGCCTGCACTGAAGCCATCCAGGCACGCGGCTTCTATCCGGATGACGAGATCAACTACTACCCGTCCCTGAAAAAGATGCGCGAGGCGCACAGCTTCATGGATCGGGCTCGTAAGCGAGCCTTTTGCAAGACCCTGACCAAGTGGGGTAAACCTCATAATCATAATCTATATTAATCTCATTCGAATCTCCCCTTCGCTTAGTTTCCTCACCTACTGCGACATGATGGTCTACCAAATGCTGTACCGCATCACGATCAAGAGCTTTGCCGACTTGGCCGAAGCCTTCGAGGTGCACGATGAAGTTGGTCCTTCTGAGGCGGATATCAACCGACACGATCGGGTGGACAAGAAGATTGAGAGGACTCGACCACCGGAGAAGCCGCAGAGTCCCTTCTTTTTGGCCATGCTGCGTCTGCTCCCAGATCGCATTGATGTGGAGCCCTCGGAGGATGTGATCAGGATCATTTTCCAGCGCATCACTGGACTTATCCTCGAGACAGTCCTCGAGATCCACCCGTTCACCACGGATCCCTTCTTCACGCAGTACACTCAGTAAGTTTGTTGGTTCAAAAAATAGTATTATAAAAAACAAGAAAGGAAGCTAGATTCGGCAAGCCGAAGCTTACATATATACTCTTGCAGTCATTAAATATGACGATTTTTCTATTAATTTTCCATATTGTTTATATGACAGCTATATGATATAGTCGTCCGATTTTGGTGAAATTTAATTTGAAACTCAAGACTCATGAGAAAACTCTATATTCCAAAAATCATGATTTTAGTTTTATGATATAGTACTCCGATTTTCATGAAATTTTTTTCTCTATTTAAGAGTATTTAAAAAACTTGATGTTCCAAAATTCATCCTCGTGGGATTAAAAACAACGACGTTATAATTTTGTTTCCATTATTTATATATATTTTTTGAGCTCTCCTATGGCAGCTATATGATAGAGTCATCCGATTTTGTTAAAATTTAATCCGAAATTCAATAGCAGTTATAAAACGCCATCTGGAAGAAATCAAGTCGATCAGATAAAAAACAGCTGAATGAAGTTTTCATGAAATTGCTAAAAGTTGAAAGACTCAAATCAAACACCTAGTAACTTGAGAGATACAAAAACTATTAACCCTCCCCAACACTGGTTTTTGACAATATTCAATAATTGCTTAAGGTCTTTTTTTCACTTTGGTTTATTCTAGGCCCTCGATTATGGGTCGACAGGAGGAAATCCTATATGAAGGTGCTCCTGATCTTCACTATCTATTGCGCAGTGACCAAAGTTTTCAATTCAACCGGTGAGCATTAAGTGCAGAAACTCTAAATCCCTACGATCTTATGATCCATGTATTTCTTCCGCCAGCAAAAACATGTTCGTCTTGATACACAGGGCCTACGAAAAGGCCAAACTTTACACACAGAGGTTCCAGCAGATCCGAGAGAACTTCGAGATAGACAACAGTACGGATCCGACGGTTCTCAACACCGAGAGAGGTACAGCCATTGAAATTGAGAAATGGAAAGTTTCTGGACTAACCCACACTGTTTTCAGATCTTCAGATCCTGCGGGCTTACTGCGATAGATACTGCAACAATGTGAGGGCGTTGGACGGGATCTTGGAGTTTGTGTTCCTGGGACTACTGAAGCTCAACCAGACGAACTTCAAGGACACGGTGACGCCAGTTTGCTCCCGGCTGCAGAACATCCTGGCCACCTACCTGCCCAAGCTGGCCGAGGAGGAGACCACGAGGCTCTACGAGGAAGCCCAGGACTTCTACGGCAGGATCTGCTACGAGCCGCACGAAACGCTGGAAATTGTGGCCCACATTCGATTCCTGGACAAGTGCTCCTCCGAACTGGACGAGATATTCAGTGGCATCGACTACGTGCACGACCTCCTGCTGATCATCAAGGACTTCGGCATTCCGATCGACGACGAGTCCAAGGAGGACTACATGGACACCGAGGACTACTTGAACCGCACGCGCGAGACGCTGGAGGAGATCAGGGAGAAGCGGCAGGACTTCATCAATCGACTCGAGGACGCCATGCAGGACGATATCGCGGCGCTCAAGGAGGAGATCCACGAGGTGGCCGTGGAAGCTCTGCAGCCCTGGCTGCTGGATGTGAGTGCTCCAAAAAGTAGTTTAGTTCGACCTTAAATGGTGTCATTGGTGGTTTAAATGGTTTATAGACTTTTTAAAAGGTGTAAACAATTGAAACCATATTGCCATACTTGAAATATGTTTCGCTTTGTTTGACTTAAAGTATGCTTAAAATATATATATTTATTTATAAAAATTATACTTTAGATTCCAAAGAAACAATTCTAAAGATACTATGTTTATCATTAGTTCTATAAATCTTCATTTATTTATAGAATTAAAACAAATGTTTTTTATTTATTTCGCTAGCAATATTTTTATTTATTTATAACTTCACTCGGACTGCATCTTTTCTAGGCCAATTCGAACCGATTGTCGGTGACGAACAAGCTGGATGCGATGCTGGAACACCTGAACAGGTGTCGCGAGACGGCGGACGAGTTCCTGGGCTACCAGAAGGAGTTCCAGATCGATCTGACCATGTACGAGGAGATGGCCAGCGGCTTCTACGACATCCGGATGCGGCAGAACCTGTACCGCACTTGGGCCGACTGGGAGGAGTCGCTGGCCGAGTGGATTGTGGCCGACTTCAACACCCTGGCGGTGGCGGACATGGTGGAGCTGAATGCCAAGACCATCAAGAACTGCCTGCAGTTCCAGAAGTATCTGCCTGAAAACAACATTGTGCCGGTGCTCCAGAAGTCTGCAGAAGCCTTCAAGGAGAAGCTTCCTGTCATTGGCTACCTGAGAAATCCAAACTTGAGAGCTGTAAGTTCTAGCTGCTAAAAAGGTCCCTTACAAATATCAACTATTCAGTCAATGGGTATTGCAGTCCTTTTAAAATAGTGCCTGTAATTACCATCGGTTCCGATTTTTAAATATTCATTTTCAAACATTCAAAAATCGAATTCCTTAATTACTGAAACTGTCATTAATAGTTAGGAAGAAGAAAAATGTAGTGTGCTATAAAATCTTAATTATCATAATCATTTACGATAAGAACCAAATATCTTCCATATATCTTTTGCGTCTAGTTATGAATTATTATTGCGCCTATTTAAGTGACCAACCTAATGATTCCACCATAACCAACTATTCCTTTGCCAGCGCCACTGGGCGGAGATCGAGGACCTGCTGAACCGCAAGTTCTTCCAGGAGAAGGACATCATTATCCAGACGTACGAGGACGTGCACGCATTCGATGACCCCGCCATCGCCGAGGCGCTCATGCAGGTTTCCTCGCAGGCCACCGGCGAGGTTCAGCTGGAGAACATGCTGAAGGCCATCGAGACCACCTGGAAGGAGACGGAGCTGGCCATTGTGCCGCACCACGATGCCAAGGACGTGTTCATCCTGGCCGGCACCGAGGAGCTGCAGGCCGTCCTGGACGACTCCAATGTGAACATCAACACCATTGCCGCCTCCAAGTTCGTGGGACCCATCAAGGGCAAGGTGGACGAGTGGATCGCAGCCATGGATCAGTTTGCCAAGACCTTCGGTGGGTACTCCCCTGCATATAAAACCTTATTTAACGAGGAAGAAAGTAAAGTTGTTAACATATCAACTTGTTAAATGAAAGAATTTCTAAACTTCAAAGAATTTATAAACCAAAGTTAGCTAACATTATTGCCTTTACCTATTGCAAAATCTTTCAGCTTTATAAATGATTTTCATTTTCCTAAATTACCCATTCCATTTGCAAACAGAAAGCTGGATGGATTGCCAGGGCGCCTGGATTTACCTGGAGGCCATCTTCGCCTCGGCGGACATCCAGCGCCAATTGCCGCAGGAGGCCAAGATGTTCTTCACGGTGGACAAGAGCTTCAAGGAGACGGTTCGCCAGGCGAAGAAGGTGTCCCTGGCCCTGCCCACCATGTCCAGTGTGGATGTGTACAAGGTCCTGGTGGAGAACAACCGGCTGCTGGACCTCATCTCGCGCGGCTTGGAGGCCTATTTGGAGGTGAAGCGAGTGGTGTTCCCCAGGTAAGAGTTCCACTTTACACTTGAGTTCTGTTAGATTTTCAGAAAATGTAGAATTTTGGAAGCTAGGCTTGTGTTGCGAAAAGGCATCAATATTTCTTATTAATTTAAGTATTTTATGTAATGGAAAAAAAAACATAAGCTACAGTGAAAACCTTTAATCTTCAATGTTCCTACGGCTGTCATGGGATAAAAATAAATGATAACTTTAATGTATCTTGGTAATTTATGCCAACAAAACTATGATTAAACTGTTTTGTGTTGACAGGTTTCTAAATGCACGAAAAGGTATATAAAAGCAAATGGATATAGCCAAGCGATTAAAGTTATTATAAAATCAAAAAATGTAATGAAAATTTAAAGGATGTTATGTAAAGTTTTGTGACACAAATAACTTAGTTTAAGCGAACTTAAGGCAAACTTTATTTTCTTCCCAGTTCAGCAGCATTTAATTTTCTGTACCAAGTAGTTTCTAAAGGTACTTGAACCATTTTTGAACCAATTTTCAGAACTAATTACCCTTAAAAGTAGCCCACATGCAAAGCCATCTTAGTTAAGTGGGTTGAGGAAACTTGCCTGCATTACTCCGCTATTGTGAATGTGCAGTTGTGAATGGGCCGTGGGACTACGTGCGTAAATAAAAAAAAAAAATAAATAAATAAATTAAAAAAAAGCAGGGGTATTACATTTCCATGTCCGTTGAACACATCTTAAATTTGTAAATGATGAATTCACCACTTGGTATTTGCCCTGGCTTCCTTCTCTCAGGTTCTACTTCCTGTCCAACGACGAACTCCTGGAGATCCTGGCGCAGACGCGGATCCCGCAGGCGGTGCAGCCGCACTTGCGCAAGTGCTTCGACGCGATCTACCGCCTGGAGTTCGGGCTGAAGGAGGGCGGCGACGGCAAGATGGTGCCCACCAACGACATCGTGGCCTTCCTGTCGCCCGAGGGCGAGAAGCTGCAGTTCGGCAAGGGACTGAAGGCCCGAGGAGCCGTGGAGGAGTGGCTCAGCAAGGTGGAGGAGGCGATGTTCGTGTCCGTGAAGCGGTACATGCGCTTCGGCTACCAGTGCTATCCGGCCAAGGAGCGCGAGGACTGGTTCCAGGATCACCCCAACCAGGTGGTGCTCACCGTGTCGCAGGTCCAGTGGGCAGCTGACATCCACCGGATCTACGAGGGCAAGGAGCGCAATCCGCTGAACATCCTCGAGAAGATGGGCAAGTTCGAGATCAAGTGCCTCAAGGATCTTGGTGCTCTGGCTGCCCTGACCAGGAAGAGCATCAGCTCGCTCCTGCGGAAGATCCTCTGCGCTCTCATCACCATCGATGTCCATGCGAAGGATTCAGTGCGCATGCTGATCGAGAAGGAGGTTTGCAAGCCGTGAGTCCGCACCTGTCGAGAGAAGATGAATCCCTTCTGTACCGTAACACTCTACTCCCTCAATCCTCCCCAGCTCCGACTTCAACTGGCTGAAGATGCTGCGCTTCTACTGGGCAGACGAAACGGAGACGGTTTACTCCCGCATGGCGGCGGCGAACATTCCGTACTACTACGAGTACTTGGGAGCCGGTGGAGTCCTGGTGCTCACCCCGCTGACCGATCGCTGCTACCTCTGTTTGATGGGCGCCTTCCAGATGGACCTCGGCGGAGCCCCGGCTGGGCCAGCTGGCACGGGAAAGACCGAGACCACCAAGGATCTGGCCAAGGCGCTGGCCAAGCAGTGCGTCGTCTTCAACTGCTCCGACGGCCTGGACTACAAGATGATGGGTCGCTTCTTCTCCGGACTGGCGCAGTGCGGTGCCTGGTGCTGCTTCGACGAGTTCAACCGCATCGACATCGAGGTCTTGTCCGTCATCGCCCAGCAGCTGATCACCATCCGGACCGCCAAGGCCATGAAGGTGAAGCGGTGAGTTGTCCTTGCTATCCTTGCAGAATGCACGCAGAAAAAAACAGATAGCTTTAGATTCAGAAATGATTACTTATTTTGGTACAACTATCTGAGGTAACCATGAACTTTCGCACATTGAAAAGGATTTATTTCTTGCAAAAGTTCTTTCTTACTAAATAATATCAACGGATTTATTCAGTAAAGGAAAATAAAATCTATTTTTATATATATGTATATTTATTTATTACAATTCTTACTGAAGAATATAAACTTCACTTTATAGCAAAATATTTAATCATTTTGGTTGATTATTTTTAGTACAAACTTAAAAACCCGTAAACAAAAGTTTTGTAATTAGAAACCAATATAAGCAGTAAAGATAATTGTACGAACTATTATCTACTGATTACATAACACTTCTTCGCTAACTGATCCCTCCCCTTGAACCATCCATTCCGTAGGTTCATCTTCGAGGGTCGGGAGATCAAGATCAACCGGTCGTGCTGCGTGTTCATCACGATGAATCCCGGATACGCGGGTCGAACCGAGCTGCCGGACAACCTGAAGGCCCTCTTCCGACCCATCTCGATGATGGTGCCCGACTACGCGCTCATCTCGGAGGTGATCCTGTACTCGGAGGGTTTCGAGGACCCCAAGATCCTGGCGCGGAAGATGGTGCAGATGTACCAGCTGTGCAGCCAGCAACTCAGCCAGCAGAACCACTACGACTTCGGCATGCGAGCCGTCAAATCCGTCCTGGTGATGGCAGGAGCTCTGAAGCGCGCCTCGCCCAACCAGCGGGAGGACATCACCCTGATCGCCGCCCTGCGCGACTCCAACATCCCCAAGTTCCTGGCGGACGACGCAGTTCTCTTCCGCGGAATCCTCAGCGATCTGTTCCCTGGAGTCGAGCTGCCGGACTCGCAACATCCCCATCTGGAGGCCAGTCTGCGGCTGGGGCTGCGCCAGAAGTTCCTCCAGCCGGTGCCCACCACCATAAGGAAGTGCCTGCAGCTCTACGAGACGATGTGCGTCCGCTGGGGCGTCATGCTGGTCGGACCCACCGGCGGGGGAAAGTCAGTGGTGCTGCACGCCCTCGAGTTCGCCTTGGCTCACCTCTTCGAGAACGAGGTGCAGGACCCCAACTTCCGGCCAGTGGTCATCCAGACCATGAACCCCAAGGCGGTCACCATGAACGAGCTGTACGGCTACGTCGACGCCAAGACGCTCGAGTGGCAGGACGGACTGCTCGGCTTGGCGGTGCGAACAGCCACCACGGTGGAAGGTGAGTTTCCCCAAGGGTTACACTATGCAGGATAAGCTAAGGATGGTGATTTTAAAAAGCCTAAGCTGGGAGATCATCCTATCTAGCAAATTTAAGTTGGCTTTTACATTCAAAACACTTAGAGACCTAACACACTTTATGAGCTTACCACATCAGACATCGCTCATCTTTCATTAATACACTTTCTTCAAAATTTAAGTTTCTGGATTTTACATACTCCTAACATTAACTACGTATAATTTCCCATATGAGACTTTCCTATCAAATTGAACTCATCTCAACACATATAAATATCAAATAGACTTAAAACTGCAATTAGATACTTAATCATTATCAGAGCGATACTAAATGAATGGATTATGGGTTATGGATTAATTCGGAAGAGTATCAAACTGACAATACGTGTTTGCCAAATAGGAATTAAATTGAATATATAGCTTCATATTAATATCGATACACCACATAATATTTTGAAAAGCAGTTGGAAACGGAGTTTACAGATTAGTTCTAAGCAATTAACTTTCATTTTTGCCAGCAAGATACCTTTATTTTTGTATATCGACCTTTTTAATACCCCGACTCCAATACCCCAACTCCTCGCAGACGAGATCCACCAGTGGATCATGTGCGACGGGCCTGTGGACGCGGTGTGGATCGAGAATCTGAACACGGTGCTGGACGACAACAAGATGCTCTGCCTGGCGAACTCGGAGCGCATCAAGCTGACCGCCTGGATCCACATGCTCTTCGAGGTGCAGGACCTGCTACAGGCCTCCCCGGCTACCGTCTCCCGCTGCGGAATGGTGTACGTGGACCCGGGAGACCTCGGCTGGCTGCCCCTGATCGACACCTGGCGGGAGGTGGACATGGAGCGCAAGCTGCCCGCTCCGCTGGCCGAGTTCTGCTACCAGCTCTTCGTCGGCTACTTCGACAAGGCCCTGAAGATCGAAAGGAAGCGGGCGGTGTACACCATCCACCAGGTGCTCGGCTCCAAGGTGCGGCTCTGCTGCGAACTCACCTCCTCGCAGCTGGAGGGGCTCAAGTGGTCCGCCATCGGCGAGGAGCCGGCCAAGGAGCTGCTCACCAAGATCTTCGCCTGGGCGGTGCTCTGGGCCATCGCCTCGAACCTCAAGGACGCCGAGAAGGTCTCCTTCGAGGAGCAGTGGAGCAAGGCCATCGCCCAGCACCCGAACATGAGGTGAGTGGGTTAGGGTTTCCGGGGGAGTAACTCCAACCATCTGGGGTCAAGGGTCATCGCTGGTAATAGTACCCTTAGCTGGTAATAACAATAATCCCATTTAATTGGGTTCCCTTTTCTTATTAATGAGCAAGAACTTTGCAAGAGTTTTAAGAGTTTTAATCTATTCCCGCAGGAGTAAATATAATTCGTTAATCAAAAGTTATGGTTCTATTCAAATTAGGGGAACTCCGAGTAACAAATACCAACATTTTAGTCTCTCCACCTAATTTGTTTTAAAAATTGAGCATCTTTTACCAATTTAAGAGTAGAATTAGAGCACAGGAAATGCCGACTTATGATCTGAATCCCAACAGCCTGCCGAACTACAGCATGTGGAACTACCGCATCGACCTGGAGAAGCTCGACTGGGGCAGCTGGCTGGACATCATGTCGAAGTTCTCCTTCGACCCGGACACCTCGTACTACGACATGCAGGTGCCCACGGTGGACACCACTAAATACGGGTGAGTTCCATGCGGTTCCCTCGTTGCACTGCCACTAGATTCCACCCAAATCCCCCCCAGCTACGTGTCGGATCTGCTGTTCAAGCGCGGCATGGCCGTGATGGTGACAGGTGACACGGGAGTGGGCAAGACGGTGCTGGCCATCAGCTGCATGAAGCGCCTCTCCGAGGGCCGCGTCATCCCGGTGATCCTGAACTTCTCCGCGCAGACGAGCAGCGTGCGCACCCAGGAGATGATCGAGGGGCCGCTGGAGAAGCGCAAGAAGACGCAGCTGGGTGCTCCGGTGGGCAGGACGGTGATCGTGTTCATCGACGACGTGAACATGCCCAAGCTGGACACCTACGGCGCCTCGCCGGCCATCGAGCTGCTGCGCCAGTTCCTCGACTTCGGCGGCTTCTACGACCGCGAGAAGCTCTTCTGGAAGGAGATCCTCGATGTGGTCTTGGGATGCGCCTGTGCTCCTCCCGGCGGAGGTCGCAATCCACTGACGCCGCGCTTCGTCCGCCACTTCGCGCTCTTCTCGCTGCCGAAGCCGAACGAGGAGACACTCACGCAGATCTTCAACGGAATCCTCGGTGGGTTCCTGCAGACCTTCTCCTCGGCGGTGCGCGCTCTCTCCGAACCGATGGTCAACGCCTGCGTGGACGTGTACATGCGGGTGGCCACCGTGATGCTGCCCACGCCGGACCGATCGCACTACATCTTCAACCTGCGCGACCTGTCCAAGTGCATCCAGGGCATCCTGCAGGCGAGCAACCTGCACTACAACCAGGAGAAGCAGATCCTGCGCCTCTTCTACCACGAGACGACGCGCGTCTTCCACGACCGCCTGATCAACCAGGACGACAAGCAGCTCTTCCAGTCGCTCATGCGGGACGTCTGCCTGGACCACTTCAATCGTCCGGTGGTCGAGGCGGACGAGCCCCCGATCCTCTTCGGCGACTTTATGGTCTTCGGCAAGCCGAAGAACGAGCGCATCTACGACGAGATCCGCGACCACGCCAAGCTGGAGAGCGTGCTCAACGACTACATTGTGGACTACAACTCGGTGGCCGTCGGCAAGCAGATGAAGCTGATCCTCTTCCAGGACGCCATGGAGCACACGGTGCGCCTCGCCCGACTCCTCCGCAGCGATCGCGGCAACGGCCTCCTGGTGGGCGTGGCAGGAATGGGAAAGCAGTCACTCACGCGACTCGCCTCCCACGTCAACGAGTACAACTGCTGGCAGATCGAGATGCGGCGCAACTACGACCTCAACGCCTTCCACGAGGACCTGCGAGTCCTCTACCGCATCGCCGGAGTGAGTACTGCATCACGATTTATGTACACGGAGAGAAAAATGGCTGGAAATTGTATGCGATGAGTGTCAGTAGGGGGTTTATTGCAATACTACATTTTTCATGGAATTTTATTAAGTATAGCCTTTCTTACTAACTTTCATTCCCTGTAAATCATACATAAATGAATACGATTGCTTAAACTTATTTAACTGTTGGGTAGAAATTAGTTATTTTCTAACCAAACGAAATATCTTTTTATGCATTTTATATTCAAACGTATTGATACTATTACAAAAGTATCATTTTTACCATTGAAAACTCAGTTGTAGCATTTCATTAATTTTTTATTAACATTTGATGAACACACACTGAACATTTGTAGCAAGTATCCATTAATAACTAAATTGAATAGAAGAGATTTTACGTAGGCATTGCAAGTTTATCTATTTAATCTCTTAACAGATCGAAAACCAACCGGTGACCTTCCTCCTGATCGACAGCCAGATCGTGGAGGAGGAGTTCCTCGAGGACATCAACAACATTCTCAATTCCGGCGAGGTGCCCAATCTCTTCGAGGGCGACGAGTTCGAGAAGATCATTCTGGAGGCCCGTGATGGTTGCAACGAGAACAGGAAAGACGATGTGTGTACCCCACTCCAAATCACATTACCATTTGATCCACAATTATTTTATTCATATCTGGTTTAGCTCTGCACCCGCGATGACATCTACAAGTTCTTCATTAACCGAGTGCGCAACAATCTGCACGTGGTGATGTCGATGAGTCCGGTGGGCGATGCCTTCCGCCGCAGATGCCGCATGTTCCCCTCGCTGGTCAACTGCACCACCATCGACTGGTTCACCAGTTGGCCCACGGAGGCCCTCTACTCGGTGGCCCTCGGACTGCTGACGAAGATCGCGCCCAAAATGGAGGACCGTGTCTCGCTGGCCAGCACCACTGTGTTCATGCACAAGGTGGGTTTGCGATTGGCATTGACCTCACGATAGGTTCTCTCCTCTAAAGCGAATCCTTTGCAGACCGTCGAGGACGCCTCGGTGAAGTTCTACAAGGAGATGAAGAGGCACTACTACACCACTCCAAGCAGCTATCTGGAGTTGCTGAAGCTCTACCAGAACCTGCTGAAGATCAAGAACATGGAGATCATAGCGAAGCGAAAGCGGATAGCCAACGGTCTGAACAAGTTGCTGGAGACCAACGAAGTGGTATGTGACTAACCCTCCTTTTATATCCTAATTTGGTCGTAGTGTAAAGGGGTAATCTGAATTCATTCAAAATAGTCTAACAGAAGAAAAAATCATGTATCCTGAGAAGCATCAAAATAATGGAAGCAATTGTTTCTTCTTCTCATGAGCATACAAGTTACAAAATTACCTCGACTTATTTATACTTGAATTTTAATACTTGTTAGATTTCGTGCATGTTTTTACTTAGAGAACTTTCCAATGGAAATTGGTTACTTACAGCCTTCTTTCTTATTCCCTTTGAAAACATCCCCTTTGTCCCCCTCAGATCGCTGTGATGGGCAAGGAGCTCGAGGTGATGGTGCCCCAGCTGGACGAGAAGTCGGCCATGATGAAGTCCCTGGTGGACAACCTGACCAAGGAGACCAAGCAGGCGGACGCGGTGAAGCAGAGCGTGCTGGAGGACGAGATGAACGCCAAGGAGAAGGCGGCGGTGGCCCAGGCGATCTCCGAGGACGCCGGCAAGGACCTGGAGATCGCGATGCCCGCTTTGCGCGAGGCCGAGGAGGCCCTCAAGGGACTCACCAAGGCGGACATCAACGAGTTGAAGTCCTTCACCACGCCACCCGCTCTGGTGCAATTCTGCATGGAGGCCGTCTGCATCCTGCTGGGAGTCAAGTGAGTGGTGGGCTCTCCATCAGTATATTACTGAAACGATTAACTTAACCCCTATTAGACCCACTTGGGCATCCGCCAAGGCCATAATGGCGGACATCAACTTCATCAAGCGGCTGTTCGAGTACGACAAGGAGCACATGAAGGAGGACACCCTGAAGAAGGTCAAGAAGTACATCGATCACAAGGACTTCGTGCCTGCTGTAAGTGCTTGTCCTTCCCCTTCCTCCATAAGATATCTCTAGAGACCTAAAAACATATCTCTAAACCCGTAGCTTTAATTATATTTTGATTAATGTGTCGGATAAGTGTCAAACCCTTTTTAAGGAAGCCTTTCAGAACCACAAAAACCTCAAGGGGCACAATACAAAATCCAAACCTAAACATTTTCAGTAAAAATGCTCCAGAAATACAATGGTTGATTTTGACTGCCATAAATACTATACCATACTACATATTTTTTTGTTTTCTTTTTTTATTTACACCAATAACAATAACATTGTAAAGTTGCTTTTCTTAAAGCTTTCTATTACCATTAAAGCCTTTAAAGACTTAAACAAAAAATTCCATAAGGTGATCTCATACGGCATATGCCACCCTAGATAATTTTGTTCAAATATTATATGTATGTTTGTACACTTCTGTTTAAACACTCCTTAAATATGAACGTTTGTTACAAACCTTTAATATAATGTTCTATGAAGTGAAATACAAGGGGTTGAACTGGAAGTTATTTGTTTTAAGCATCTACCTTGAGATGTTACACCATTAAACTTACCTAACCAACCAACTCGTCCACAGAAATTCGAGAAGGTCTCGAAGGTGGCCAAGTCGATGAGCATGTGGGTGATCTCGATGGACAAGTTCTCCAAGGTGTACAAGGTGGTGGAGCCGAAGATCAAGCGCAAGGAGGCCGCCGAGGCGGAGCTGAAGGAGGTGATGACGGTGCTGCGCCAGAAGCAGAAGGAGCTGGCCGCCGTGGAGGCCAAGATCCAGGGGCTGCGCGACAGCCTCGAGGAGAAGCAGCGCGAGTTCCAGGTGATCCAGGACAACGTGGACCTCACCTACGGCAGGATCAACCGGGCGGGCAGGCTCACCTCGGCGCTCTCCGACGAGCAGGTTCGCTGGCGGGAGACGGTGAAGTCGCTCACTGGCGACCTGGCCTGCGTTCCCGGCGACGTCCTGGTGGCCGCCGCCTGCGTCGCCTACTTGGGAGCCTTCTCCCACGAGTACCGCCGCGACATGAGTGCTCTGTGGGTGACCAAGTGCCGGGAGTACAAGATCCCCTCGAGCCCCGAGTTCAACCTGCTGAAGGTGCTCGGCGATCCGTACGAGATGCGCCAGTGGAACGTGGACGGGCTGCCCAAGGACAATATCTCCATTGAGAACGGCATCTACGCCACCCGCGCCCTCCGCTGGGCCCTCATGATCGATCCGCAGGAGCAGGCCAACCGCTGGATCCGCAACATGGAGCGGGCCAACAACCTGCAGGTGATCAAGATGACCGACGCCTCCATGATGCGCGTCCTCGAGAACAGCGTCCGCCAGGGCTACCCCGTTCTGCTCGAGGAGATCAACGAGACGATCGACCCCAGCCTGAGGCCCATCCTCCAGCGGGAGACGTACCGCTTCGAGGGACGCACCTACCTCAAGCTGGGCGACATGGTCATCGACTACGACGACAACTTCAAGCTCTACATGACCACCAAGCTGCCCAACCCGCACTACCTGCCCGAGGTCTGCATCAACGTCACCCTCGTCAACTTCCTCGTCACCGAGAGCGGCCTCGAGGACCAGCTGCTGGCGTGAGTAAACTCAAATAATTAATCAAATAATTAATGGTGTGTCAGTTAGGAACATAGAAACCTAGGAAAAGACAAACATAAACTACTGCTTAGCTAAAAAAATACTTTGAAAGGAATGGGAAACCTATAATTATTAAAAATTCATGGATGATTGTTCAGTTCAATTCAGAATAATTGTTTTGTGGGTGATGTGTAGGTGCGGCAAATTAATTATTATAGTTTGTAAGCAATACAAAACGTAACAGAAAACTTGTTATAATTTGGAATTTAACGGATACAGTCTAACTGTTAAATGAACGATATTTTTGAGAGTTATTTTTTTTAAATTTTTATTTTTGAAAAATACAATGAAAAATATTTCATTTCGGTTAACCCAACAGCACAGTTTTAGTTCTAACGACTCATGTACCCATCCATTAGGGACATTGTGGCCATCGAGCTGCCCGCCATGGAGATCCAGCGAAACGATCTGGTGGTCAAGATCAACTCGGACAAACAACAACTGCTGGCATTAGAGGACAAGGTGCTCAAGCTGCTCTTCAACTCCGAGGGCAACATCCTCGATGACGAGGAGCTGGTGGAGACACTCAACGATGCAAAGGTGGGTTTTGAGTTACATGGATATGTTTACTGGTAACTTTTATTGAAACAATATAAATTAATATCTTGCCACCAATTTATATAGGGGATTAAGACCACTTCAAAAGTCGGTTTCCATACTTCTAGTAAGCCTCTAAGAATAGTACACTGAATAGGGACATTTTTGCAAGAAATTTCAGTCCAAAGGTGCTTAGAACCAGTGTAAAGGTGTCTAAATATATAATCTCAGAAAATAAGTACATTGCATTTTCGTGCCTTTGTATTGAGAATTATTACTTTTTAGCTTTTAATATCAAAAATTTTATATTCTTAGAGACCACAACATCTTTGAATGATTTCAACATCAATGTTTACCATTTGTTTTCATCACTTTAATGTGATAATTCTAATTTTATTTCTTAATTCTTATTCTACACCATTGTAATGACCCATCATATGGATAGTTTATTGAAACGTGCTTACTATATCGCAAAGCTCGAAATGAAACAAATGCAAATTAAGGGTCAAAGATTTGTACAGGAGTTATTAAACGACTTTGCATTTTATAGTACTTCCTTGCATATTGTATGGTATTCCCCTCCGCCGCAGGAAACATCGCTGATCATCGCCGCCCGACTGATCGACACCGAGGAGACGGAGAAGGTGATCACGGCGTCGCGGGAGCGCTACCGCATCCTGGCCTCCCGCGGGGCCATCCTGTACTTCGTGGTGGCGGGTCTGGCGGAGATCGACCCGATGTACCAGTACAGCCTGAAGTACTTCACCCAGGTGTTCTGCAACGTGCTGCGGCAGGACCACCCGCCGCAGGCGGTGGAGGTGCGCATCTCCACTCTGATGACGGACGAGCTGAAGGCCATCTTCGACAACATATCGCGTGGCCTGTTCGAGAACCACAAGATCATCTTCAGCTTCCTGCTGGCGCTCGCCGTGGAGCGGCAGGAGGGTCGGGTCACCGAGGACGAGTTCCTCTTCCTCACCCGCGGCCCCGTGGGCAACATCCGGCCGAAGAAGAAGCCGGCCAACATCGAAATGAGCCAGATCGAGTGGGACTCGTGCCTCTTCCTGGAGGACACCTTCCCCGCCTTCTTCGGCAACTTCACCAACGAGCTGGACAAGCCCTTCTTCATCCAGCTGCAGGAGAACAAGGAGGTCTTCGACTTCGCCCAGACCAACCAGCCGCCCACGGACAAGTGGAACAAGCGGCTCCGCGTCTTCCACAAACTCATGTTCATCGGCGCCTTCCGCAAGCCGCGCTTCCTGCTCAACGTCGTCTGCTACCTCCAGTCCACCGTGGGCAAGTACTTCACCGAGGCCTCCGGCGGCACCCAGCTGAGCTCTGTGTAAGTACAAGATCTATTCGGAAGTATCAGGGTTTCTAAAGCAGTTTTAGTACCTGACGGCCCATTGTTGAAATATTTAAAAATACCACAAACTTTAGGCGAATTCAATTTCAAAAATTTCAAGTTTTATGCCCAAAGAGTATTATATTTTTGGTCAGGAGTGAGAAAACGTAATTAAGGTGACATTATTGACACCTTTAAGGTGTATTCTTGACCAGCATCGCCATTTGAATATCTTACTTTCAATGCTAGCCTCAATTTAATACTTAATGAGTGTCAAATTTATACGAATAATACAAATGGTTTTAATTTGAACCCAGTATGAACGTTAACTAACTTCACATAAGAAGTTAAGCCGAATAATCATTAAATTTACAGACATCTTATTAACGGCTTGACTCTTTGATTGCGACGAAGGTGTAAAAAATCTTGATCAATGGATTGTCTTAATACTGTAGTTATTATACTTGATCTTCTAGAAATGGATATATGCAGTTTACTCACTCACTTTCTTACTAATCAAGTCCAATCTCAAAAATCTTGTGTAAAATAAATACGTTACTCTTGTAAAACTTTGAATTTCTAAATGCAAACAAATTTAAATTCCGATTAGGGCAAAAAATTATTGTAGGCATATGCATATAATTTAAGAGATACATTATGGGTGATATGATCTTTCCTTTTTATGATCCCTTCCATGTTTAAAGTAAACACCCCAAGAATCATTCCCCATCCACGTTTTTCCAATCCCCCCCAGCTACTTGGACACCTCCGCGGTGACGCCGCTGATCTTCGTGCTGTCGACGGGCTCTGATCCGATGTCGGGCTTCCTGAAGTTCACCACCCAGATGCAGTTCACGGACAAGTACTACTCGATCTCGCTGGGCCAGGGACAGGGTCCGCTGGCGGAGAACCTGATCGACAAGAGCCTGCGGATGGGCCACTGGGTGTTCCTGCAGAACTGCCACCTGGCCACCTCGTTCATGCAAACCCTGGAGACGATCGTGCGCAACCTGACCCTCGGGATCACGAAGGCGCACCCCGAATTCCGACTCTACCTCTCCTCGATGCCCATCCAGACGTTCCCGATCAGCGTGCTGCAGAACTCGGTGAAGATCACCAACGAGCCGCCGAAGGGCATCAAGGCGAACGTTTTCGGGGCGCTCGCTGATCTCAAGCAGGACTTCTTCGAGCAGCACATCCAGAACGGCAACTGGCGAGCCATCGTGTTCGGACTCTGCATGTTCCATGCGGTTCTCCTGGAGCGGCGGAAGTTCGGACCGCTCGGGTGGAACATCACCTACGAGTTCAGCGAGAGCGACCGCGACTGCGGCCTGAAGACGCTGGACTTCTTCATCGACCGCGAGGTCCTGGACGAGATCCCCTGGGAGGCGATCCTCTACATCAACGGGGACATCACCTGGGGCGGCCGTGTGACGGATTACTGGGATCTGCGCTGTCTACGCACCATCCTCACCATCTTCTCCTCGAAGCGGATCATCCAGCCGGACTACAAGTACTGTCGCGGTGACAGTTATTACCGCGATCCGCGTCGCAAGACTCTCGCAGAGTACTCCACGTATGTCCAGGGTTTCCCGGTGCTGGAGGACCCCGAGATCTTCGGCATGAACCAGAACGCCAACATCGTGTTCCAGACCAAGGAGACGGCCTTCTTCATCAGCACCCTGCTCCTCGGACAGCCGCGCTCCGCCGCCGACGAGGGTCAGGCCATGGAGAACGAGATCTGCCAGCAGACCATCTCGCGCATCCAGAAGGCCCTGGCCACCAAGATCAAGCGGGAGCCCATCCACGACACGCTCTCCATGGTGAGTTATCCAACGTGTTTATACGTACTATATATACCTATCTTGGTAAAGAAATACTGGATTAAGATCAAATATGTTCCATGACTAAGAGTATCGCATCGATTCATGAATCGTATTGCATATTTTGTTCCCAGCTGGACTCGAAGGGCCAGGTGCCCTCGCTGACGATTGTGCTGGTGCAGGAGATCGACCGGTTCAACATCGCACTGGGCATCATCCACGACAGCATGGCGAACCTGGCGAAGGCGATCAAGGGTCTGGTGGTGATGTCCGAGGACCTGGAGAACGTGTTCAAGGCGCTGCTCAACAACCAGGTGCCCGCATCCTGGGCCAAGCGGAGCTTCCTCTCGATCAAGCCGCTGCCGAGCTACATAGCCGACTTCCAGCGCCGGATCGACTTCATCCAGCAGTGGGCCGAGAACGGAGCACCGCGCTCCTACTGGATCAGCGGCTTCTTCTTTCCGCAGTCCTTCCTCACCGGCGTCCTGCAGACCTACGCCCGCCGACGCATCCTGCCCATCGACTCGCTGAAGATCGACTTCGATGTGTTCGAGAAGGAGCTCATCCAGCAGGATTTCTTCGAGATGCACATGAACAACATTAACGTAAGTGTTTCAAATCGTGAGGAATTCGACTTCGGATAAAATGACAGGCAGGATAATATTTGAGTTACTCGCTCGCCTTATTAAAACCCTCTCACACTTTCCTACAATTCGCAGGACCAAAAGCTGTACGGCAGCCTGCCGGAGTGCACGGATGCGATCATCAACGTGCACGGAATCTTCATCGAGGCGGCTCGCTGGGACTTGAACAAAGGTGGCTTGTGCGACGCCAACTTCGGGGAGCTCTTCTGCCGGATGCCGGTGGTGAGGTTTAAGCCCTGTTTGGAGGTTTCCCCTACGGTGCGCTACGAGGCTCCACTGTACAAGACCCAGCAGCGGTCCGGAGTGCTCTCCACCACGGGTCACTCGACCAACTTCATCCTGGCGGTTCTCCTGCGCAGCAACAACGATCCCGAGTTTTGGATAATGCGCGGTACCGCTTTGGTTTCCGGAGTCCTGGAAAACATTTGCTAGACTTGCCAGACATTCCATACACTGCAATTAGTTACTTTTTCAGTGTTTTTTGCTGCATACTTCAAGCCGTCTTTATTTCGTTACATTTTCATTCTTAAGTTTTTCCCGCGAAGGTGTACATTACATGGTGTGTGTGTGTATGTGGATAAGTTAACTACTCAGCTTAAGGCCTAGATTGGTGAACCATTCATTATATGATAGAGCGGTTTGTTTTTGAAATCCCTGGAGATTTCCGCTTCAACTGAAGGCACTGAAATGTTTTCTCCTAAACATTTGCTTGCCTTCTCTTCGAAATCTCGAGAGATTTCACAAACACATCGTTGAGTAATAAGTAGGTCCGATTTTGTGCACCAGTTGTTCTTCGTATCAAAAGCAATTTTACACATAATATTTGTTTATTTTGAAGAGGCAATGTAAAGCTCAAAACACGAGCTAGTTATGGCAAAAATTGACAAAGTCTTCAATAAATATCCGACGAAATGCCCTTAAGCCTATATGTATATTTTATGTAGACTTCTGTATTTACCGCATAAACATAATTGCACTTTTAGGCCTAGATTTATCATTTCCACTCAGTTCTACAGAATCTACTTTGGAATCCTAGACCTTGCACACACACACACTGAGAGAAAAACACACACAGGCACAACTCTATGTATACTATATACAATTCCCTTCGGTTTCATTTTCACTTTCAGTTTTAGTTTCAGTTTTAGTTTCAGTTTTAGTTTCAGTTTTAGTTTCAGTTTTAGTTTCAGTTTCAGTTTTTAGTTAAGTTTGGATCTCGTTTTGGTCACAGTCTATGTCGCATATCAATCAAACGGTGGACAGAAAGATAACAGATAAGGCAAATCTAACTAATTGACTAACGGTAAACATACACTGACAGATAGAGGAATGTGGTGGCTGCAGGTAGTGCAGGTTGCTTTTTCTTTTTGCTTTGCTTTGCTTTCTTTTCGGTTATTTTGTTCGCCTTTTCTAAGTACTAATACTGCCGTTCTCTACTCCAATTTGTTGTGGAAGGTGTGGGTTTCGAATCGGATTTGGAAACTCGGAAATGTGGCTTAGGGGCTAATGGTTAAGGGTTATAGTTATAGTTATAGATATAGTTATCGATATAGGCATAGGTCTTTTTCGTTAGTTAACCGCATAAATGGAATGCTAAATCAGTTAGAAATCTTATGCACTAATTATTGCTGGACATTGTCTCTCCTCAACTTTAAGTACTTAGTCACTAAATATACAAATTAGCTAAACAACGCAAAAAAAAAATTGTTTAAAAAAAGTGGTGTACACACAGAGTTATCAGTAAACACACGTTCCGCAAAATCGTTCATTAGGAAGCACAATTCGGTGGGCGGCGACCTACAACGCTGCCTACAACTTTTTACTGTCCATATCGATCCTGAGGTCGGGCAGCGATCCGCGGTTCTGGAGCAGGCTCCTCTTCTCCGGGTCCTTGACCTTCTTGGGCTTCGGTCGGTTCGTCTTCGTGTAGCGATTGATCACGCCATCCGCCTCGTCCATCATGCGCAGGATGAGCGCCTGGTCGGAGGAGTCCAGCGGCGCTATCGAGATGTCGCGCACGGCTCGGAACTTACCGCAGTTGTTCAGGTGCTCGTTCTCCAACCGGAAGAAGTTCCACACAAAGCGACTGAAAGGATAAAGGTATTGTTTCTACCCTGAAGATTTATATGTTGCGAAGAAGACTTACCGGAACACCTCCAGGATTCCCGTGATGGAGGTCATTATGTCGCTGCTCACGATTTTCATCTCGGTGAGGTAGAAAGACAGCACCCAAATAAAGCGAAGCGCCAGATCTTCCACGATGGCAAAGTAGTAAAAACCCTGAAAGTTAAAGAAAATTTATGTATTATAAAGAAGAAATTCATTTTAAAAGGACTACATTTTCCAAATGGGAAATAAAAATACAAATTTAGTAGCCAATAAAAAAAAATGAGTTTGTTCAGACCTTTGAGAAACCTGACTGAAAATCTCGTCTTAAGCAAAGTCCAATTACATTAACTAACTTAACTTACCGTCGATGAGTAGACGACTTCCTCGCGCAGAAAAGTATTCTCGCCGGCGTTCTTGTCGAACAGTCCCCAATCCATCTTGATATCCCAGGTGTAGGCGTAGCAGGATGAGACAATCGAGGAGATGATCCACAACCACGTGTAGGGATTATCAAAAGTGCTGGCATAGTTGGCTGAAGTAAATGAAACACAATGCCATTAAAAGACATTCATATTGGAGCGCATCAGAAGACTTACGACTGTGAAAGCTCTTGAGGGTGGCGAAGATGACCACCAGGAAAGTGGTGGAGTACTTGCCGGCGTTCACCAAGTGGGGAAAGGCCTCCCTCGAGTCGCGATATCGCCGCAGGCACTGGGCAAATCGGAACCACGCCGGCAGGCAGTTCACAATCGGCCGAATGATGAAGTCCTTCTCCATGCAAATGGAGGCATCCCGGGCCTCCGTCCAGTTGCCGTTCGTGAAGTAGAAGCAGATGAGGTACTCGAAGTCGAGGATCGCTGTGGCCAGCGAGTTGAGCTGATCGCCCAGCCAGAAATCGGCGAAGCCCACGTGAAAGAACGGCGCGGACAGACAGCGACCAGTGATTCGCCACAGCCAAAAGCGGGCATCGTGGTGGAGCACATGGAACGGATTGGCCAGGAAGAGCACCATGATCAGCGTGAGCGTCAGCGGGTTGATGAAGGCCGGAATGGCCAAACTGGCGCTGTACAGGAAACTCAGCATGCTTAGCGTCCACACGACGCCGAAGATCGCCGCCAGTTCCATGAGGTGCTGTTCGGACAGATGGTTGCGCGGATCGAGCTCGAAGATGAGGACGTGGTTCACGCCTGACGACCGCCAGCCGTAGATGTTCACGCCGATGAGGAAGATGAACTCGATGATGAGCAGGGGACCGCGGTACAGGCGGAACGTGACCTTCAGGTTCTCGCCGCTGATCTCGTGGAAGATGGCAGACAGCACCACCACAATGCCCAGCACTATGAAGCTGCCGGAGAAGAGGCCCACCTTGAAGGTCGTCCACGGACTCTGCTGCTCCCCCAGCGGCGGCACTCGCAGCCGCTTCATCGCCCGCTGCCGATCGCCGCCCTCCAGTTCGCCCGTGACCGTCGTCTCCGTCTCATTGATGATGTTGTCGATGTCCTTGTTGGTGAAGAAGTGCGACGCCTCCACGTACTCCTGCCTCCACTTGGCGCCACTGTCGACGCGCAAGAGCTACGAAGAAGGAAAGGTAAATTAAGCATTAGTACATTGAATGGTAATTTAATATAATTTTAAGTAACATAAATTTCGGTTTTTAGTTAAAGAAGTCCTAATTTTAGCTTACAGAGAGAAAAACAATTATGCTCTGCTTCTTGCATTTGTTACTGCAAATATATATTTTTGAATACCTTTTCAAACTTGTAGCATTTTGTGGATACAAAATAATTATTAGTTCTTAGTACGCAAATATGTAGCTGAAAACACCTATTTATGAACTATAATTAACACATTCATGTTAATATACACAACATACCTCTCCAACTCATTGAATTGAAAAATAAGAAAACATTTACTTCGTTCCCGGCTAATTTGTACTCTTCCAATCAAATTATGTTGAAGTCTTTGTTGAGTTCAAAATAATATCATACGCTTAGTAATCCCCTAAATAAAATTGTATATTTTTTAGGAGAGTACCAGGCAAGATAACTCTGACAAGTTCTACGCCGAGATCAAAAACATTGATCTGAAGCATATCAAACCGATTATTCTTATCTAAGTTAAACGAGTGATTCACTCCTGTTTTATGATGTTCGCCGCAAAGCACATAATTGAAAAGCTCTGGCGTGTGCAACCGAATATAATTCATTGCCGGCGATAACGCAGACTATTTTTAAAGCACTTTCGTATGAAAAGCCTACAATAAATTTGTATTATTTGTTACCCAGACAAAGTGTGTCGTTGCACACATTTCTGCTCCGCAGACTAGGAGTAATCCCTAGAGATCTTGTCTAGGTCAAGGTTCAGAGACGCCTCTGCGGTGGCCGTAAATCAGACTTACTTTATCGTGCTTCTTGAGTATTTTGCGGAAGCCGGTGTGATTCAGATTCTGGTAGTTCTGCAGGAGGATCAGACTCAGGTAGAACTCGCTGAAGGCCAACTTCAGTTCGCGGGCCTTGCGATCCGGAAGCGCGGCGTGCCGCTTCTGGCCCTTGGACTTCTTGGCGCTCCGCTCCGACTCCTCGATGGAGGTCTTCAGCTCGGCGTTCAGGGTGGCGAACTTGCGCGTGGCCTCCGCCAGCTTCTCCGAGTAGAATGTGTTGATCTTCTTCAGCTCCTTGTCGCAGTAGTGGAAGAAGTTCTCGTCGAAGTTGGCGAAGTGGCGCTTCAGCACGTCGTCCTCGACACTCTCCACCGATGGCGCCTCCTCCACGGCCAAATACAGCATGGCCTTCATTTCCTGCCACAAGAAATCGGGTTGTCAGTCGGTTTTTAGTTTTCAATGCCCCTATTTCTTTCTCTTTGGCCCTGACTCACCTCATAGTTGATGTATTGTTTGCGCCACTCAGGCGTTATGTGCGCCGACAGGTGCTCGGCGAACTTCATGGCTGCCGATGTCTTGGCCTGGGGGCTTCTGGGGCTACCTCAGTCCAATCCAGTCCAGATCGGGTCCGTTCCGTTGATCGGCGCTGCACTCAAGCGCGTCTGAAACGATCAAGCGCAAGAATTGCTAGGGGTATTTCCTAGTGCAACACTTAATGTTACTTAAATCTACACTTCGCATAGTAACATTCTGGTTAAGCAGTAAAAGTGCCACTCAACTTGTAAAGCCTTTGAATACTGAAATACGTATAATTACAATTTTTGAGCAACAAATAAATAGGTTTTCTAAAACTTTTACTAGCCTTCAGGAATGGGTTCCTATTAAAAATTTAAAATGACTGAATGCACATCAAACAGTTTTTATTTTTTCCTTTATGGCAGGCATAAGAATATAGTCGTCTGACTTATAAAAACAATCTCGTGTATTTAAAATAAAGAGATATTTATATCTCGAGTTAAGTACGAATGTACATTTATGTCGAACAAAAACGATGTTCTGACTAATTTATTTTTTTCTTGTCATGCAAAAAATTCAGAAAGTACATAATTATTAACACATAAAAACATATAACATATAAAACCATATAAAGTATTAAAGTTTTAATTTGTTTATTTTAGGCGCAATAACATTTTGTTTAGCGGTGTCTCCCTTAAAATTGGATTCCCAATTCTTGTTTAATTCATTATCAAAAACTGATTCCAACAAAAAGTTGAAGGCATGGACGTTAAATATGAGATTATAGAAGATGTGTTTTCGAGTGATTCACAAGGCAAACACTATTGTTCTTGCCAAGAATGAGTAATTCGCGGACCTCAATATAGAGTGAGCCGTACGCGAAACACACTCAGCCGGGTTATCCAATAATTCCGAGCCAATCGCTCAGCTTTCTCGGTGGAGTTGAAAACTTTACGGGCGAGTGACCCAACTAATGGATAATGGCTCAAATCAATGCAGTGGCTAATCAGGCGTATTACCAAAAGCACGTAATATACGACTACCAGCGATCGTAAATCGGAGCTGGTGGGTGTGTTTTTCACTACTGATAAGCGATTGCCCCGAAAATTGGGAATACATTGGGAGCACATACAAGCCGAAATACAGCAATTATTGGGGTCTGTGCCACCCGACTCTTTACAGAATATATATGTTATTATCGTGGCCCGCATAACGAGTTATACAAATTGGAAAATTTTTGTCGCCAGTTCAAACAGCCCGTATAAGATACAGATACAAATAAAGATATAGAAAGAGATGCGAGAATGTTTTAATCAATTGCACAAATATTTGCGACGGCAACTGCTGCTGTGACATTTGTTGCTATTTATGCCTACTTTGCGATTGCCTTTCCTCGGTTTCTGGGTGTAACTTCCGCCGCAATCCCGCCCCCTTACAGGTTAAAAAAAATGTTGACTAATCAGAAAATATATTTTTTTAAGATTTCAGCAAGTGTGGCAACTTAAAATTTGGTTGTTTCGAAACTACAATTCGATATCCATCAGGAAGCCTATATTTTAAGAACACTTTAGGAAGGAATCTAGGGATTCCTGGATTAAAAATAGTTACAGTAATTGTTCACAATACATCATTATTATTATCAAAAAGTCAAGTTTAAAATAACTATTTTTAGCATTTTGATATGTATTTTAAGTTTGTAAATCTATATGATTGTTTTAATATTTTACAGTCGTATGATTGTTGATAAAATTCCGTTGAATGCATTATTCTTAGCCTGTTAATGGGAATATTTTTATAATTTTATTTATTTTTATTTGTATTGTATTCTTCTTGGCGAGGGAAAATAATGATTGATTGGCTTTGAATGCGTCGATCACGTGAAGTCCCATGGATACAAATCAATAGCTATTAAATTAATGAATTGACAATTTTCCAATGCAGCTTTTTTTCCACTGGTTATCCCACGAAGTTGAATTGATAATTTTTTCGTGTTTTTAAGCTAATACCCCGAATGGTTTTTTCCTCTGTATACCCATTGTTCCATGGTTTATTGTTATTGGCACAAGTGAAACCCAGAAGAGTGGCCAGTACCTGGGCGATAATTGATGGCAGGGTCACTGAAGGGGGGAGGGGGGTGTTCGATGGGGGTGGGACAGACTGGCGGTCAATTAACGTCAACAGCAGGGACTAAATATAGATCGGCTCGCTGATTGATTAGACCATACCGAACAATAGCACTCGTAATGGATTAGAGCTGCTGAATCTGATCGATCGACACTGCCGGCGGATCCGAACTTATCCCGCCCATCTCAGAGCTCACAACTCAGAATTCAGAACTCAGAATTCAGAACTCAGAACTCGGACCTTATCGTCTTATCGCCGCCGCTCACAGATTTCTCTTCTGTAGTTTAATTAGCACTGATAACGAAACGGCTGGGCTTATAAAACATGTGCTAGTGCCGAGTAAAACAACAGCACAAACAGCTGACATACAAAGCTCCATAATCGCTGAGACATCGCCAAAACACATCGACGGCACACGTAGACGCAAATATTTGATCAATAAAACAAGAATGGAGGGTTCGCTTCGGGGGACCGAAGTCGAAAATACCCTCATCTAAACTAGATTGCTATGGGAGCTATAGTGTGAACGATCTGTTAGCAATTATAGACCACTATCTCGATTGGACAATCTGAACAACAAACAAGATTTGTGATATCCTCAATATGACAGCGGGGGGATAAAGAAGAGAATCGAGTAGTCAGATTTTTGTAAAAGACGAACAATGAAAGAAATTACATCGAACAAAAGAAAGAAAGGGAAAACAAAGGTGTACAAAATGAAACGACTTAACAAATGAGAAATATTTAAAAAAGAACACACAATTTAACAAAAACAAATCAGAAAACCGTTATCAGAATCTACACTTCTCTTCAATAAATAACTTTTCATTCAGAGACCGTAAGACACGAAAATCTAGGTTAAATATATATTCACTTTATAACTGTCATTCAGAGATCTTAAGTTCCGCCGACGGGAAACTTTCCATACACAGAAAAACAAATAGAACACTTTTGCATTATTTTAATGGAAAATAACTAAGCCAATGCCAAGTTATTTGGGTTAGCTTAAACAAAATTTTCCAACTTCTTCAAGCAGCAATAATAACCCTTTGGAAGTAAATTATTCGCGTAGTGGCGGCTTTAAAGCTGGAACAAACTGACTGAATCGGCGATGTTGGCTTTTGATTTTTGTTGATTTCCGCGGAAGAGGCGGCGCAACGCAGGAGGCGGGGCGGCAGAACAGCGGCAGAGCGCCAGCGCAGCTGAGCTCGTAGTAAATTTGTCTTGTGATTTTCGCCTGCCTCCCAATTCACAATTGCTTAAAAAACTCAATCGGACAAACGAGGCGCAATTGGAGGCACCCAGTCCGAGATTATCGGGTGCTTTGTAGACTTTGTGGGATTGGGGACTGGGGGGTTGGGGTGGGAAATTGCTTTTCGCTTTTCAATTACATAAAATTACATACATACGCTTGCACCGCGCTGCAGTTGCACTTGCAGTTCCTCCCGTTCGCCTTCGGGCGCCTCACTCTAGCATCTCAAGCTGCTCCCACTAACCATTACTAATTGTCAACAGTCGCTGATTTTTTAAGTACACTGCTTATCACCGAAATGCGCGCATATCACTTTCAGACGACGGGCGAAATGCCAAACAACAACAAAGAACTAAACGCACAAAACTAAAAACACACCAAGTATTGGGAAACGAGCGCGCGTTTCGTGCCAATGTTGCACAGCGGCGGCATGCCATCGGATACGATCGCTAGTTAGTTTTCAGCCGATTATATTAAGCCTTTCTTGAGGAGAAAAAATAATTTTCTAAAAAAAGCATTAGCAGGTTCAAAAAAAAAAGAAAGCTAAATGATACACATAAAGTAAACACTTTTTTAAACATATTAACGCATTTTTTTCAAGACATCTTTATAAATTATGTTTCAACCATTGCACCAATGTTTTTCCAAAATTTGTAAAATCCTATAACTAGGGGCTTCCGTAATTAAGTAGAACTAGCTGGTTTTACTATTGGATTTCTTAATGATCAAGATATAAACACTTCTTTTGACTCTATGTATCCGTTGGCTGACTGGACTCATTTCTTAAAAAATAAAAAAATTTATTAAGTATTTTAATCATCTAAATTATCGTTATTTTGAATTCACTGATTATAAAGGAAAACATATTGCTAAAGTTAATAATTATTTAAAATGGAATGAATTTATACAACCATTCAGTTAGTTTTTGAACTATAACGCAAGATTGAGCGCCAATCCTTCTCAACTAGCTGGCCCATTGTACTTTGGTATTTTTCAGTATTTCACCATCTAGAACACTTGTAAATTTTACAGCTCCCGACTCGGTCACACCATCGATATCGATTTACTTTGAGAAGGAAAACAAAGCGTGTTATCGCCTGCTCGATAACAAAAAAAAGAACTGTAAATAAATAATTTCTGTAATTTTGCCACAACGGAGAATTCGATTGCTCAAATCGCAGCCGCGTTTAATGAGTGCGAACCTGAAGAATATCAAGCTGGGCCACTTCGGCGGCGGTGGATCCGGGGGAGCGCCCAGTTCCGGCGGCTTCGGGCTCTCGGCGTCCTCCGGAGGTGCTGGCAAACTGCCCACAAATGGCACAGGCGGAGGCAAATCCGCTCCGGCCAGTTCCTTTGCGGAGGCCGAGGTTCTGGCCACGCCCGGGGGCGTCGTTATACCCATTATCCGTACCAGGGACGTGCCCAAATTGCTGCCCACAATCGCGACCGCCCTGCAGCGTCCGGCGGATGACCACTTGGCCGCCGAGGATCTGGACGCAGTGCAGCTTGAGTTGGAGCAGATGCTCTCCAACGTGGCGCTGCGCACGCGCGTCCTAAAGTCGGAGTACGACAGCCTGGACAAGGATGAGAAGCGCCAGGATCGCAGGAAGCTGGATCGCGTGCCCGGGTCGCCACCCTGCCCCGCCAGTATGCTAAACGGCCTGCTCGGCATTGGCAGCAACTCCTCCACCAGTCTGGGTAGCCCGCTTGGTGGCGGCGGCGCCTCCTCCTCCAGCCAATCCAAGCGGAAGCGGGAGGAACCTACGGGCGTACGCAAGAAGCACTCTTCGATGACAATTCTTAAGCAACAAGGCGCTTCCGGAGGCTCCTCAAAGCACCAAGCCAAGAACAGCCCGCTGGCCGTGCACACGGACGACAGCATGGACTACCTGCCCACTCTCGTGGCTGCCAATGCCTCTGGCTCAGTGCTGCCGCACCACCAGCCGTTGCCGCAGCTGCCCAAGGTGGCGGTGCCCAAGAACGACACGCCCAATAAGTTCTGGCTGTCCGTGGAGCCTTACTGCATGCCGCTGACCAACGAGGATCTGCGCTTGATTGACGATCTGCTGGAACAGTACCGGGGTCCGCTGGTGCCGCCCGTGCCCACTCTGGGTCCCCACTACTCCACGGTGTGGGCCCAGGAGGACATGAAAGCTCTGCAGCCGGGTGGCACGCGCCTCAAGTCTCAAAACGCCGCCGGGATGCTGAAGAAGGCAGAGGGCATGGTGGAGGAGAGCATCACGGGTCAACTGACACAGCGCCTGGTGTCCGCGCTCATGGAGGAGTCGCTGATGACGCTGCCCAGCGAACAGGCCGCGGTGGGTGAACACAGCAACAGCACCACGAGCAGCAGCAACGAGAACACACACTCCCACTCCTCTTCCTCCGCGAATGCGGCGGCGGCGGCTGCCTCTGGCAACTTCCGATCGCTCGCCATGATGAAGCACGGCGTGGGCATTGAGCAGCGGTTGAAGAAGACGCTCATCGAAAACGGACTGATCGACGCCAGCGAGTTCGCCGTTCACGAGGACGTGGACGAGGTGCTGCTGGAGATCAAGCGAGTCACGACCGAAATCAGCACCATTTCGCAGTTTAACAGCGAGGAACTGAAACGACTGCGCTCCGCTGCCAGCGAGGAGATCAAGCGGATTGCCATTAAGCGGAAGTTGGACACGGTGGACCAGGAGATACTCGAGTGCTACAAGCGGATGCTGCAGTACCGGGCCAAGCGGAAGGGCCACACCATCGAGGAGAAGCAGGAGATCCTACGGCTGACCAACGAACAGCGCCTGCTGGCCGACCAGCTGGAGCGCATGCAGATGCATCTGCCGTGCATCGGCGGCGCTGGCGGCTCCCTGCTCGATACCAAGATGTAGGACAGGACCCTCGCCTGGGGCTGGTGCCAGCTAATGGCCATGCATCAGGCAAAAAAGCAGGTCCGGGAAGCTAGCCTCAACCTGAAGTGTGCCTGAGGAGACCCCTCCTGTCTACCTGTCTCACTGTCTCACCTCCCCCTTATTCGCCAGACTGTACATTAGCAAAGATAACTAGCCTGTAGCATATATACGCAGCTTCGCAGCACGGTGTGGATGGTGGAAAGAAGGTGCTCTTTCCAAATCAGGAGCCATCTCGCGTGTTCTCCTTCATCTTCCCTACCCTGTATGCTTATCTTTGTCGCCAGACTGTACATTAGCAAAGATATACACCATATAGTATGTAAAGTACACGATTAAAGTGGATTGAATTATTAAGATAAGATGTTCATGTGGTGGATAGTGACTTGGTTGATTGTAAGCCTTGCTCCGTTCTCTTCTAAAAGCAGCACTTGTTTCCGAATTGAAAGAAACATTCGCTGAAAGTGAACGATACACAAGAGAAGGCAAAAAAACTCATAAGATTTGTATGGCCAATACCCAAAACCAACCAATTTAAGCAATAAAGAAAGTAAAAACTAAAACATTGATTTGTCCTTATTAATAGAAATGGCATTCGGTTTCGCTCTTAATCGATTTTAGGTTCTCTTTCCGCACGTTTTTCTGTACGTCTCTGTGAATCAGAAGTTTTTCTGTTGTTCGCAACTAAATATTGATACACCCTATTTAACACTCTACGTACACTTTGTATGGCTTAAGTTATCGCGCGGCAATAAAGTTGTCACTATCGAGAAAAAAACGCAGAGTTTTGAGAAGGAGGACCACCGCACTTGGCGAACGTAGCGTACGCTTTGACTTCGGTCTGCTCGGCGGAACGGCCAAGTGGACTCCCGCGGATGTGGAGGCGCCTCCGCCACCGACCATATTTGCCCAGCCGATAAGATGCAATCAAAGGCGGCAACTGGAAAGCGCGGCTAATTAAATCCAAACAAGCAGCGAGGGCTTCGATCCGAGAATGCCCTTCCGGGGATCGCAGTTTCCCTATCTGCCCCGCTAATCGCAAGGCAAATATTCTCCAAAAACAAAACTTTATTGCTGGTAGCAAAAGGCAGTTATAGCTAATATCCGTTCAGTGAAAATCACCGGGTTCTCGTAAATGTGATGCGAGTGTAAAAGGTCGGTTGTACTTCATTTTTGCTGCGGTGCAATGGCTTGACTGGCGGATCCCTTCCTGTTGCCTCCGAATCCAATATCACAAACGCTTCGCAGTCTTTTGTATACTATAATATTAGCGTCCGACTCATCCCAGTCAATCGCCCAGGACGGCGAACTCATCGGGATAGGCGGCTATCAGGTCGGAGCGACAGGAGACCTCAATGGCCGATGCGTTGGCTTTCAGCCGAAGATTCGCGTCGTTGGTAAGGAGCATCATGTGCGGCACCTGCTCACGCAGCTGCAGGCAGCTGTTGACGATGCTGTCGTCTGGGCAATCCACTTTGATGAGGTGCTCCGCCTCCTCCAGAGCGGACTGAGCTGCAGAAAACATCACAAGGCTTAATAATGGTGATTGTTTATCAATTATTTTGCGGCCCACCTTGAATTTCCAAACTCTCATCAAACTTGGTGTTCAGATAACGAATCGCTCGAACGGCAATCAGTCGCTTGGTGTCCTCGGCGTCGGAGTGTCCCTTGAGCTTGTCCAGTTCTTTAATGACGACGTAGGGAATGTAGAGCATGCTGCCCACTGTTCCCGGCAGCACCACTTCGGTGAGACTCTCCACGAACTTGATGTTGTGCATCAGGACGTTTGTGTCGAGCACGAAGTACATGTGATCGAGCAGGCGGGTGGGTAACTCCTCGCCGTCGGTGGCCCCTCGGATGAGAAAAATGTCGTCGTCCTTTTCGGCGAGTTTGGGTATTTGGTCCAGTTTGGGTGGCTCATCTCCCTCGCACTCCTCCCATTCCATGGGCTCTGGCTCCACTTCGCTCGTCGTGGAGCTGTTAAATGCAGTAGAGTTTGTGTTATCACAATTCCCGGCATGACTCTGGTTAACCTGCTCCTCCGATTTTGGTATATCATTGTTGTTGGGCTCCTGGGCCTGCTGTTTTTGCTGCAGCAAAGCTCTCAGCTGCGCTAGACGCTGGTTGGCTAATAGAAAAAAAAGAAACAGCTGTGTTAGCCTTGGTTTCTTTAGAAAATATAAAAAGGACTTAGGGTGGTTTTTGATTTTTGAAGAACTACAATTGAAGGCAAGTTCATTAAGAAGTACTAAGTTTCTGATCTGTGTACCCACCACTTTGGGAACTTCCTGCTTTCAGGCGGTTACTAGCCTCCTGCAGAGCCTTTGGCTTCTCCCACGGATTGGCTTTGGGGGATGAATTCTTGGCGTCCTTGGTCTGAGCCTTTAGGCGCTCCGGCAAGGATCTTTGGGGTGTCGATGTGGCAACTGGTGCCACAATGACATTTGCTCGGCTCTTAGGTGCACTTATCTGTGAGTGACTGGATGTAGATGCGCTGCGCGTGATCCGCTTAACGTCTCTCTCCCTCTCCTTATCCTTGATCGGTTTCTTGTCCTGCACCCGTTTTAAATTGGTTTGCAGTCGCTTAAGGCGATCCTGAGCAGGTTGCTTATTGACAGAACACGCTGTGTAAATTGGATGATTAATAGAGAAACTATCAATTCAGAGAAGGCCAAACTCACCATTTGTCAAAAGCGGGTTGTCGACTAGTTTGTTCCGCTCCTCGTCGTCCAAAAGTCGGGGATTCTTTTTGTTTTTGGCACTGAACGACATATCGTTTTCTTAACCATTTAATGTATTTTTTGTATATGTTACTTCCTGTCCTTCAAGTGGAAGTTTTGTTTTGCCTCCCCGCATCGAACGGGTTAACGGCACCTCCAACAGTTAATATTTGTATTTTGTTTGCCAGCTTGCTCTTAATAAGAATAGAGATGGACAAGTGCACGTGTCGGACGGAATACTTCGTGTCACGATATATAAAGCCAAGTATTTATACCCTTTTCCCACACAGCCCATCCCTGTAAATTTTTTAAAATATATGAAACTTCGATAAATAAGCTCAAAGGAGTTGAACGATGATAAATTGGAGTTGTACCAAGTTTAGGATTGCGATTTATATGAAAAAAAGTGATAATTAATGTTTCGAACAATGATTAACCGGAAAACAACGAAAACTTTTTTAAAGTGAGCTTCCCAATCAAAAAGAAGGCCTTTACTTTTTTTATTTTAAATTAAACCGGTATATCCTTCACTCCAAGGTGAAGGGAATACGAAAAATGTTAAACAAATAGCAATACAAGGGAAAATGCTAAGAACTCCCCTATTTAGTATTTTTATAAGGTTGCGATGGTATTTAGTAACGGCGCAGACACGGTCATACTGAACCGGGTTCGAATTGTTTAACAAGGTTTTGATTAAAGCTTTTCGAAGTACTAACCAACTAGCGCTTTTCGCATCCACAACACAACACGGCAGAATGATCAAGGTACGTTTAGCTGTAAATAAGAGCCATATAGCGATTACTGGGAATTAGTGCAGACGGATCGATCGACCACCCGGTGGACGGGTGCAAAGTCCAAACGGAATCTGAACTCGTGTCTGTGGGCCCATAAATAACTGTGTCTGTAGCGATGCACCTTGTACCCTCCGGGCAATTAGCATTACTTCTTTCTAAGTTATACAATAGCACAATGACATCAAAATAGGGGCTTATCTGAATCAACAGTGATAACTTTGCAGAGATCTTTGATCATCTGGGGGCTAAAAATACGATAAACCGATCGGATTTTGGTCGAAATTTTGGATCTCTTATTCCCTACTAAAGATTTTTAATCAACTGTAAATATGAATTATAAGCTATTCGGGACTCTAAAACGCACTTCGCATTTAAGATCATCGTTTTTTTAATTTCTTCTTTCTTTTCTCTTGAAATGGGTTAACAGGTACATACTTAATTTCTAATATTCTTGTCTTTTCTGGTTTATCTTTAAAAAGTGGTAAAAAGCTAGGGTTCTTTGCTGATAAGAATGGCCTTGATTAGTTTTAAAAGAAAGCATTTATGATTCATTGAAACAGTTCGAAATTTTAAGTTATTTAACTGCAAAACAAAGAACCGTTCCTAAATAATAAAGGGCTTAACTTTTTTCTTCTTTAAAAGTATGCTTATAGTTTTTGGGCTAGCATTAATGTTTTGAAAAATATTGATGATCATAAATTGTTAACAAATACAGAATAATATCTAAATATATATCTTCCTAGAACGCAGTATCCTTGGTGACAGGAGGAGCCTCTGGACTGGGTCGCGCAACTGCGGAGCGTCTGGCAAAGCAGGGAGCCAGTGTTGTCCTGGCCGACCTGCCCTCGTCAAAGGGCAACGAGGTGGCCAAGGAGCTGGGCGACAAGGTGGTTTTCGTGCCCGTGGATGTGACCTCCGAGAAAGACGTGAGTGCCGCTCTGCAAACGGCCAAGGATAAATTCGGCCGTCTGGACCTCACGGTCAACTGTGCGGGTACCGCGACGGCGGTGAAGACCTTTAACTTCAACAAGAACGTGGCCCACAGGCTGGAGGACTTCCAGCGGGTGATCAACATCAACACGGTAGGCACGTTCAACGTGATCCGTCTGTCCGCCGGACTGATGGGCGCCAACGAGCCAAACCAGGACGGCCAGCGCGGCGTGATCGTGAACACCGCTTCGGTTGCGGCCTTTGACGGCCAAATCGGCCAGGCTGCCTACTCCGCCTCCAAGGCCGCCGTGGTGGGCATGACCCTGCCCATCGCCCGTGACCTGAGCACCCAGGGCATCCGGATCTGCACGATTGCGCCGGGTCTGTTCAACACCCCGATGCTCGCTGCGCTGCCAGAGAAGGTGCGCACCTTCCTGGCCAAGTCCATACCGTTCCCGCAACGCCTGGGCGAGCCCAGTGAGTACGCCCACCTGGTGCAGGCCATCTTCGAGAACCCGCTGCTTAACGGGGAGGTCATCCGCATCGACGGTGCTCTGCGTATGATGCCCTAAATCCGTGAACCCGAATCTCGGATCTCGGACGTGGTAGATCCAGGACGTCCGGTTGTGGCTCGATCAGTTTGCATTTATCTATTGTCTAGTGGTTAAGCTGAAAAGTTTTATTATCTGTCCCGAAATTATGTAATAATTGCTATTAAACACAAACTCACTTTCACATTTTGAATTTTGGAGGCCCGTCTGGGTGACGTTTAACAACACTGTCTCCATGCCGGTCACTAAAGGGGTAGCATAGAGTACATGAGTTCGCTCTGGTCTGCAACAGGTGAAATACTTTTTAAGTGTACACAAATAAAAGTCTTAAAGATATTTTTAAATCCTTTTTAATTAGTTTAAAATAAAATTCTTTTAACGCGGACTAACATTAATTGCCATTTCCACTACAATTCCAGCTCATAGAGTATCTAATTGGACTTATTGGCTTATTTTTTTTTTGAAAAGGTTGGCAGTTCCTTTGTTGACAGTTGCATTTGTAAACAAGAAAATAAGTGGGGAAATCCATCGCCTTGAGATAATGCTGCCATATCAGGGCTGCGATGACATCGTGTGCCTTTGCAAGAGGCGGAAGTGGTTCTTCAAATTTGTCTTCGTCCGTCTTGATAGTCACGGCCTTGGACGAGTACTTCCTGGCGGAATCCCCGCTGAATCGAAATCTCAAGTGACCAGGTTGAGGAATGCCTTATGGCCCGAAAGCGACAGCCAAAACATCTCATCCCGGCTTTCTGGCAAAAGCAAACAATCCGTAAGCTACCAAAGGATTTCAGGGCTATTGTACTAATTTCAGCTTTTTGTCTTCATCCACCAAAAAGCTCCAAAGACATAAGCGAGCTGTACCAGCAGTGCAGCACAAATTCGAACATGCAGGACACGTCCTGCCGACTGAGTTGCGTACGCGGCCAAGGGTCATCCGTTGATTAAGGATCACCTACCAGGCATGCCGAGTTAACATCAATCGTGAGAGCACTACGTTTCGCTTCCGGATGGAGTTCTTGGAGGACCACCCTGCCAGCATGGACGCAAGGGCTGCCCTTTTCGTGGCAAAGGCTTCACCATGTGCGGCAATTGTGCCATCTGCAGGACTCTAATGCAGCTAAATCAGTGCCAGGCGCTTCAACACCATCTCCTTCTTCAAAGGACATGAACAGCGCCCGGTGCCCTCATCTGCGACAAGGAAATCGTTGGGCGGACTCTGCTGGGACAGCTGGTTGTGCGTGACAAGGAGTGAAAGAGCTGCGGCAAAGAATTCCGCCAGTGTGCGGGAAACCAAAGGCAGTGGATAAGTGCGGTGACTGATAATTAAGGTATCACCTTTCCGTTAATTATGTTTTTCTGTTCACAATCACGCAGACCCAATCACAAATTTAAAGAACTAGGGAATAGAATGTTGACTCTAAATTATTGAATGCCAACACATAGGTACTTATCATTAAAAGATACTTTTTGTATTTTTAATTTTCAAAGATTTGAACAATATATTTAAAAAGTAAAAATGAATCAAAAATCGTAGTTAAAATCTTTTCTCTGTATCATTACTGGTTCGAATTAAACTAAAATGATTTTTTTATAGACCAGCACTTTAAACTCCATTTATAATTATTACCAGCATATCAGCTATTGTAACCCAATATTAAACGAATGGACCGCCCACCCACCAAAGCGGCGATCCCCCCAACGCCACCAATAGGCTGTATCTCCAAGGGCTGGTCAAGGCCCCGACTTGCTCCACTTACCCACAAATTTTCAAAGTCCAAGCTGGCGGGGAACGAGGCGCACCCGCAGAAGCCGATGCCATTAGCCTGCCAGCGTAAACAGAGCGATATGAAGGCGGCACATATCGTGGGCATTGAATTTCGGAATGGAGCTTCTCCAGAGCACTTCACACATTATCGCCAATTCTGTGACAACCAGTTTTATTTATATTTGAACCGAGTGGCTTGCCATTTGTTTGGCTCCCCGCTTATCTTATCGGGAGTGTCGGAGTGGCTGCGACTGTGGAACAGTTGGAATTGCGATAAGAGCCCGGAGGGTTCCAGCCGATCGCCCCAGCCAGTCAGTTGAAATCGGAGCTGCCTGCGAATTATCCACTATCCATGACCGACCGCCAATCGCGCCTCTGATAGTGCGTCATCCGAATCGCACGCAAAAGGGAGATTGGCCAGCAAAGGGTCATCGTCGGAAGCCCAAGAAGTGGCTTGTGGTCAACTCGTGTTGCTGCTGCACAAGGTGTTGCTGTTGCTGTTGCAGTTGCAATCCCGGTTGCTGCTGCCCCGCTGCAACATTCTTCGCGCAACATTGTGTGACTCGGCGGAAATCGGCACTTGACAAGCGGAAGAGGTGGGTGTTTACCACAGTGTGCTCTGACTAAAGTGGAAGTGAATTAAATACACAGTATGATATACAGAATTATGTGATTTTAAGTTATGCCTGTGAAGTTCCCTGTTTTTCTGTAAGCTCACTGCCTTTTGCTATCGTCACTCAGTAGTCATAAACTAATTATACCCACGGCTGTTTCATTCCGCACAGTTTTTTTTTGACGTCACTTGCCACCGAAGGGGGCAGAGGAGGAGGAGGAGGAGGAGGAGGAGGAGGAGCAGAAGCAAAGGGTTCTCCACTGTCCAGCTGCCCCCACTCCGATAAGCCCAAGCGCAGTCAATCGAGAAGAAAGAGAAGGAGCGGGTCGCGGTTAGACCCCGATAAGCGAGAAGACCAGCTTCATCACCATGCAGACGACTACAAATCAGCGGCCAGTTACGCCTGGCACTCCAGACTCGGCACACATAGTGATCGGCGCCGCGGGATACGTGGCCCACGAGAGACGCCAGCCGGGAAAAAGCCTGATGAACTGCTTTCGCGACCGCTCCACGACCTCGACGTCATCGTCACAGGCCCAGCACGGGTACATGCGCGGCCACAGCGTCACCTCGGGCACCCTGTTCCGCCTGGAGGGCAACAGCGGCTCCAACGGCACCCTGGACAAGGCGGGCAGGCTGGACTCGGGACGACCCGAGGCGGTCGTCCTGCTGCGCGAGCTGAAGACCAAGCCCAACAAGCTGGCGCTGCTCAAGAGCAGCAGCAGCAAGGACCTCACCCGCCTCTTCCTCGACGACTCGACCAACACGGCCGTGCTGGTGTCCAACACCAGCCTGGACGTTTGCTCCTCGAACTCCAGCTCCGGCGGCAGTCCGGCGGTGGGCCGCTCCAAGGGCTCCAGGGAGCGGAGCAGCGGACTGGAGTGCTGCAGCAGCTGCTCGAGGCGCTGGCACGACCTGAAGCAGCGGATGCACACGCTGGAGCAGGACCTGCTCGTCCAGACCACCTACGGCCAGGAGCTGGAGCAGAAGGTGGGCGAGCTGAGCCGCCAGCTGGGCGAGCTGCTCCAGGAACGGGACAGGGACAAGCAACGCTCCGCGGGTTCGGGTGGCGGGGGAAGCAAGCGCCAACCTCATCCCACTGGAAGCCCCAATGTGCGACCCTCGCGGCTGGTGGCCTGGATGAACCTGTCCAACTGGTTCAAGAGCCGGCCGAGCGTGGAGACCCTGCGCGAACAGCGAATCTTCTTCGACGAGCCCTGCTTCGACACGGAACTGGAGATGGTCCTCAAGCACGACCAGCACCGCACTGTGCCGCGCATCGTGGTGGACTGTTGCGATCTCATCGAGCAGAAGTACCGCCGGTCCACGCAGCCCATCGAGGGCATCTACCGGCAGTGCGGCGACTACAACAAGATCCAAACACTGCGCTTCAGCATCGACGCCAACGACTACGACGCACTGCGTCAGCCGGACGTCGACATCCACACGCTGACCGGAGTGCTGAAGCTCTTCCTGCGCGAAATCAAGAGCCCGCTGGTCAGCGTCAACGAGGCCAAGACCTTCATCGGATCACCCAACCAGTGGTGTAAGTTGGGAGGCCCGTGGCACTATCCTTTCACTTGTGACTCCTCCGTGTTTTCCCCACAGTGCTGACCGACCTCTCCGTCAAGTTGGACAACCTGAAAAGACTGATACGCTCGGTGCCGGAGAGCAACCGCGATACCATGGACTATATCTTCGGGCACTTCAACAGGTAAGTGGCTTCCATTCGCCTGGCAGTTAGTTATAACCATTGTAACGCAATCTTGGGGAACAAACTCTTTTCTTACGATTTGTGGTTTATCAATTCATAAAATTTCGTTTAGCCTGGATTGCCGGGAAATTTCTGAATGACCAATCATTACAGTGATCTCCAACATTCGTCATTCCTTTTCAGTAAGAAGGAACACGTCATTAAAGCTTTAAAATTTCGAAAATACGTACTTCATTAAAACACGCACAGTAATTTTGATAATGCGTATGCGTATATATTCTGAGTCTGAGCATTGTTACAAATAATTTATTTGTATCTTTGGCTTCGGTATGATAACCTATAAATCCATAAACAGCTTTTCCAAAATGAGTTTTATGTTTCGTCCGACACTGGTCTTGCAGACAATAATTCGTAGCACGAAAGCACTTTACATACTCTAGAAATTAAAACAAAACCGAATGGAACAACTTCAAAGTTCATTCATACAGATTTAAGATCAAAAAATTCTTCAGTGCGATACTTACATCTGATTTAAATGCTGATATGGTAAAAAACACTTTTCTACAGTATCACAAACATACAGAATCCAAATATTTTTTATCAAAGAATAGATGTTTCGGAGCTATTATTCATCAATGTAAAATGTTAACTTTACCTTGAGGGTGAGGATTACGCAAAAAAATAACCTAGATGTCCTCTTTCAAACCCCGCAGATTGACCAAGGTGCCGCTGCAGCAGATCAGCGCGGAGACGCTGGCCATATCGGTGACGCCCTCGATCTTCCACACGGTTCCCCAGGGCGTCCACATGCAGGACATCCAGCAGCTGCTGCGCGAGGGCGAGACCCTGGCCGACTGCGTCAAGCTGATGATCGAGTACCAGGGGCGGATATTCGAGTAAGTGAGCCCCGTAGAGGAGCAGGAGGATCCCCGTCTCTTTGGTGAAGGTGCATTGGTTTCCGGCCGCCCGCTACTGTTCCCCAAACCCGAATCCCAGCTTCTTAAGTCTCATCCGAATCGCTCTCCCCTGTGCCGTTGTCTTGATCGCTTTGCTAACCACAAGAAATCCTGAACCCGAACCCGAACCCACTGTACCTGCCACTCCTTCCCAATCCCAACGATCCCGTCGTCTACAGATGCACCGCCGATCGCCGCCTGCCTCGACTGAGCATGCGCAACCTGAAGAAGACTCTGTCGCAGCCGGACCTGTTCCACAATCTGTTCTGATCCGTTGACTGCTGATCGCTGATCGCTGATCCCTCATGCCAGAGAGAGCACTGTACATATTGAATGACTTGGAGCGCTTAAGTGTAATAACCCACATACAGGCATACTGACAACCGTGGCCCCATTTTTATACTTATTTTTTTTATGTTTAAAAATTATGAATTAACTTTTGTATTTATGTTTAATAAACAGAAAGGCTTTCGCCTCAATAGAGCGTATCAGTAAATTGTTTACTTTTTAATGGCCAACAGTCAATGGAAGATAATATGCGTACTTGAAGCGATCGTTTTGTTCTGTAATACCGTCTATCTCTCAATTCGAAACATGACTAAGTAATCCCCTTGTAAGTTTTGGAATTCCGAAAAGACCCGAACAACTTGTACCCAAAAGCCGGCATTCATTGATTCACCAAAAGAAAACAACTATTGGGTTTTTCACTGGCGTATATATGTTTTTGTATTTGAACTGTTCTATAACATGGTGGGGTGTATGTTTTCAGTGGGGGCGGCAGGGGAGGGGGCGGGGAATGCGGGGTTACAGGGACGGAGGCGGTTGGGAAGAATCTATGATTTCGCAGTACAGTCTAATCGTCACTAGAGCTAATATGTAATATATATATTTAAAAACCAACTGGTTTTAAGTGCTAAGTGGCCTATAAACGTATAATATATATCAGATATATGCTTGTATGTTCTAGGTTAAAGTTAGGTTCGATATTAGCAATCGCCTTTCTAAATTTCTTTCAACATTAACATTACATCAATAGACATATGTGGTAGGTGTACTATATATCTTATGCGCGGGCCGATCGAAATCTACATAAGTGTGTGTTGCGTACACGTAAAGCCATCTGATGTAGCGCTTCTAAAATAATTGAAAAACATTTCGCTGGCTCTTCTGATCACAATTCGGGGCTAATCGATGCATGTATATGAATGATTTCTATGATGTAAATAGGTAGGATTCTGCTTCGGTTGGTTTCCAATGAGGGGTGTTACAAAACTAAGGTGCGTGACTGCTCCTCAAGCGGCCACGAAAAGTAGATACACATCAAAGGCACAGGAATATTACACATATTTTACTCTAACGGGCCAGGGTCCTTAGAACTGAATCCAACTAAACAACTATTGGGTTAACCATGGCAGCGGCCACATGCGCATCAGATCTGATGAAGCTTACGCTAAACTAAGTATAAATTCCACTCGCTTCCGGTACTGTTGCTTTGTTGTATATATTGCTTAACGCTCAATTTGCGACGTTTCCTCGTGCTATTGCGATCTACTTGAAGAACGGGTTCTTCGATGCCGATGACTTCATGGTGCATAAGATCTGACGTTCCAATTGAAAGTCATAGTCCAGGGACTTAAGCAACGTGGAGATTTCTGGCAGTGTGGGTATCTGTACAGCGACACAACAGAAATAAATTAGCATCGAGTTCGAGTGAAAGGGCAATAGCGCACGGATGCACCACTCACATCAGATGCAGCTTGACTGCGCTGTAGCCTGACGTCCATTGCGAACGGCACTCCCTCCAGCTCGGTGTAGGTGCCCAGGGTGCCGGTGCCGCCGTAGGTACCGCGTCCTCCGCCGGAACCCCCTCCCGCTGGACGTGGAGGCGCCGGTCGCTGTGGAGAGTTGATTTGATAGTTTGCCTGAATTTCCTCATAGTCATGGTGTTCAGTCGGTGGCTGAGGCAGCTGGTTGGTAAATCAATCATCAGTTAGGAGCTGGCTAAAATTAAAACGTTACTCACTGGTCCGCGTGAGTTGCGCTGCCCCTGGAGGTTAAGGCGGTTAAGGGCCTGCTCCACCTCGCAGGTGGCTAGAGCCGGAACTGCTCCACCCGGCACCGGTGGCGACAGGCGCACGGGAATCGCACTCGTCTTGTAGCAGATGAGCACCCCGTTGATGTCGCCGGCCAGCTTGAAGCCATCGGGGGCCGCCTTCAGCTTGGAGCAGAGAATGATGTCGGTGACCGCCTGGGTCACAGTGCCGCGCTTGGACAGCTTGTAGATTATCTGCCGCTTGCGCCATGCTTTCTGGTCGCTATCGGCGGTGCGGGAGACCTGCGAGAACTCCTTAGGCGGCGCCGTCTTATCCGCAATGACTCTGCAATGAAATGAAATGTAATGCAATGTTTTTACTGTACCAGGAGTAGGGAGAGTTAGACTCACTGTAGTGTCTCCACGACGTATTCGGGCAGGCCCTCGGACTTGGACAGGCAGAGATAGCGTGTGTTCTGGCGCCCAAACAGACTGTAGTCGCGCCACAGGTCCGCATCCGAGTCCTGGTCATAGGTGCGGTTTATGGCACTAAAGTTTTTCGGGCATCTGGTAAAGCAGTAAATCTTGAACATGGACAATCCACTGTTGAACGCGCATACTAACCGCTCGAAATCCTCAACGATGTGCAGCGAGGTGATGGGCCGGTTGTCTGGCAGGAAGCTCATGATGGAGCTGAACACATTTGTGGTGGCAGCCGATCCCGATCCCGATCCATTGGCCGCCTCCAGCGGGGATCCCAAAAGGGCCGACGCGGACAAGTTAGGCGATCCGTCGCTGCCCAGTCCTGAGATGCCGGTTTGGATGTGCTTGCCCACCTTGTTCATTGCAAAGTTGCCTGGCGGAGTAAATTCCCAGAGAAAGCTGTTAGGGTGGAGATAAAAAAACACCATTTTAGATTTGAACGATGTCTCGTAGACACTATATATAACTGGGTTTATTTCTATACGACTCTCATTTAAAATATTTATATTTAAGTATAGATTACAAGCCGAATTTTGGAACACTATAATAGCAACAAAACCTGCATGCTATAATCACGAAATTTTATTGTCTGTCTGGTTCGAAATCATAATAAGAAACTTTTTCGAATTCGATTCAAATGTTTAAAACCATAAACAAACTTTGAATTATGACCATTTTTGTATTCATTTTAAAACCTGTTTAAAATGACTTCAAAAAGAGAAATAATATTTAAAACTACATATGTATCTCCTTTTCTATTAGTTATTAAATGTCTACTCCCTAGAATGAGGAAATTAATCAACACAAATGCCAATACAAAATAGAAAATGTTAATGTACTGCGAATAAGTAAGTACACCTGCACCTGAGAACCGGAATCTCTCATGTGATATCAAAATCTCTGACCATTGGTGATCTGGTGGGCTTTTTCCCGTCCCGCACAAGTGATTCACCATCTTGCTGCTGGGTTTTTTGCATGGCATTCTTTTGTAGGTCGCCCCACCAGGGCCAATTCCGAGTTTCTCTTTAGCCACTCGCAATTTCGACAAGGTGCGTGGTCAGCGGAAAATTAAATAAACAAACTTTGGCCGTACGTTCAAGTGCACTCTCTGTAAATTAATAGAGAAGATATCCCTTTCTATTTTTCGCTTTCCGGATTGTCAATATGTTTTATTTTTAATAACTGATAAGATATACAGAGCAAGGTGACGGCCGGTAACTCTGACTCATGCAAAAACTGCAAAGAACAAATGAAAAGTGCAATAAAACCCCGTTTACAAGAAATCAAAACAAAAATCAGACAAAGAATAGCCATGCACAAAATAAATAGGTATCAATATCAACAATACTGGAAAAGTGTATGTTTACTTTTTGCCTTGTTCCTATAAAAAAAGGTTCCAAAAAATTATAATTTATAATAATATATACATATACATACATATATATTTAATAATATTTTTTTAAGCATTTAAAATGTTATTTTGTAACCATGTTCAAAATAAAATTTGTATCAATAGGAACAACACTAGAAAAAACTACTCATTTATTTAAAACTGCTCTTATCAAGCCAAGAGTTCTGCCTAATATTCTATCTGATTTTTTCTAAAATACATATTCATTCTTTTTATCTAGAAAATTCTACAAATTAAATCATTCAAATCTTACTTCCTTACAATAGTTGGTAAATATATGTATTATGCAATTTTGCTCGTTTTGATGTTATGGGGTTCGTAATGTATTAGTTTTCCTGTGTATTTGCACTTATTTTGTACACATCCCATCGATCACTATCAAAGATCTAATTTTTTCCTGTGCTCACATACTTTCTAAGGTTTCGAAAGAAAACTCTTTGGCGCGCACACAAAGAAAGGGGGATTTCGAGGGGCATGCGTATATATATTTGGGGGAATGGGGAAACTCCGGCTGATAACCAAAGTGGAGCACATCGGGCTTAAAATAGAAACCTTAGTGAAATCGTTCGAAAACACCCCGCATACCATTCCAATTATAAGTGCCAATTGCTAGGAAATAGAGAGCCTCCCCTCCCCCGCTCACCTTACTTCACTAGAAAAAATATTAGTCAACACAGCATCCACACACCAATACGTACGTACAAAGTTTATAATTCCCGATGGAGCGGTTCGGGTTCGGAGTACGATTCCCGGGCACCTTTGACTCCCAAGGGCCCCAAGATGACTCAAAGAGTTGACGATTCGGAGTTTTCTGCAGACCGGCCAGACATAAATTGCATTTAATAGAACAATTATCGCCGCTCCTGTCCCCTACGCCGACTTCTTCTTTTGTTTGGCAAACAACAAAAAAAAATACACTGATTTTTTTGAGGTGGACCGACTTTGATTACATTAGATTTTTACATATCGATTGTTTCAAGTGACTATCGATAAGACCGACTAGATTTTTAAATGGACTCTTTTTTAAATCCAGAACGTCTATATAAATACGGTACTTGTTTATAATCCCAGCGTTTTAGAAATAAAGTCAATCTATATATTGAAAGTCCGTGCAAAAGCAGTGGAATCTTCTACATTTTGTACTAGACGCAGAAGTTAAGTGGAGACCAGCTACTCTGTTCAAATATCAGGAACTACCGAACAACCTGGTTGTGATCGATAGTGCTCGGAAATCCCATCTCTAATCTCTGAAGTGCCAAGATACGATTTTTTTTTTTGGCTCCTTTTTTTAAACGTAGGAAACGTACAAACAATTATACGATGGAGAAGGTTGAGGCAGTAATGGTACCCAATGTGGATGCATATCGACGCCTGCTGCATAAGGCGGTGTCGCAGTTACTGGTGGACAAAGGCGCCGGTCAAGCAAGCAACCAATGCCTGGAGACGCTCACCCAAATGCTGCAGGCGCGTGAGTGTAAATCTGAATTTGTATTTGTCCCAGGCTCAAAAGCTTCACCTTCCAGTAATTTGGGAGGTTGGTAATTCGGCGCACAACTACTGCGAGCTGAGCGGACGCACCATGCCCACCGTAGGCGATGTCAGTCTGGCCCTGATAAACATGGGCATCTCGATTGCCAGCCTGGATCCGTACATGCGCAAGGAGACGCACGTTCCCATTCCCCTGCCGCCGCAGCAAACGCAACAACGCCAGCTGAGCCTGCTCCAGGCGGGCAGCAAGTCCTCGCATCCGCACTACGTGCCCAGCTATTTTCCGCCTATGCCCGATCCGCACGCCTATATACGCACTCCCACACACAAGCAGCCAGTAACGGAGTACGAGGCTATTAGGGAGAAGGCTGCCTGCCAAAAGCGAGACATCGAGAAGGCGCTTACCAAGTTTCTTTGCAAGACCACGGAGACAAACAACCTATTCCCAACTGAAGACAACATGTTTCCCTGTAAGAGTCTTTGAAATAACCATAGTACTTTTTTGATTTACCTTTCCTATCTTTTAGTAATAGCCTGCAAGCCTGCCTTTCCTCCGTATGCCGCAGCCTTGAATCCCACAGATCAGGTGTTTGATTTCGAGGAGCTGGAGTATCACTATCTTGTAGCCAATCGCACAGAGGATGTGCCCAGCAAAGGTTTGTTTCGCCTAGATAACCATATTACGTGTATTCTTAATTCAGCGTCACCTTTCAGAGGATGGTGAGGAAGGCGACAGCGAAAACGAGGAAATGGACGGCGACAAGTCCAAGGAGGATAAGCCCGAGCTGGAGATCAAGCCCAATTCCACAACCAACAAGGCTATTTTGGAAAACCCCAACATAGATAATCCCTATTTGCGAGCCGCTACTCTGCCCAAGCGATCCAAGATCGGGCCGTCTCCTGGCATTATGCCTAGCCGAAGTTTGGCAACCACAGCGCCAACGATTCCAACTCCATCCACTTTAGAGATTACCAAAAATAGTGCTTAAGTGCAGTTTTAACTGCTGATAGAAAATTTATACACTCCGATTTTATACTAATTTCTGTATGACTCAAAATCTTCCAAGTGGGCAATCTGAAATTTCAAACTCTGATTTTTGAAATTTTGTTTATACTGTTTTCAGTTTCGATAATCGGATTTTGAATTTTTAGGTGGTCCACTAGAAGATTTTTATTCATACAAAAATTGATCAATGAAATGTGTCACGTTCATGAGGACGTTTATATGACCTTTTCAGGGCTTATTGCAGCCAATCATAAAGATGTGTTACGTTCATGAGGACGTTTGACCTTTTCAGGGCTTATTGCAGCCAAACAGAGAATTCCTGTCAATCTATAAACGTCTCAATATGATTAGTACCAACCGGTACATATTATATTAATAAAGAATTGAGCATAGATGACAATTTCGACATGTTGAACCTTTTAGAGCTTGTGCAGCAGGAATTATGCTTTAATCACGCGACTGCCTTTTTTGTTGGAGTACCAATCTTTGTTTAATAGTTACTTTTGATAAAAAAAATGTTAAAGTTGCGGCTAAGATGAGCAAGTTATTGTGCAACAGAAACGGAAACTAAATTTCGTAAGAAATGAAAAAGCCAAAAAGTATGCATCACTAAATCAGTGCAAGAGAAACGCATGTGGAGTAAGATATCAACCCAAAATATATTTTTAAATTCGCCATATTTGTTGTTTTATTCTGATTTGAAATTACAGTTTAAAATTTGTTAGGCCAAAACGTAAAATACGTAATACCCCATATAACATTTTTTGGAGGATATTTGTACTCTCGTACCTTCATAAGGTAAGTGGAATACAAAAAAGAAAGCTATAGCTTTGGCGAGCATATATTTATTTCCCTACAGTTACATTTTGAGCGTGTAGAACAAATAGACTCATCAAAATCTATAGTAAATAGATTTTAAGTCCAATCCCTTACACTTGTGGAATAAGGTGTAATAAATAGTATCTATCTAGTTATGGCGAATTTGGGATAAATGTTCTGATAACACTGTGCGACAAAATTTAACGAAATGGTTGTTTGAGTTACTTTTTTGATTGTTTTCGGTTAAGGGGCATAAGTTATGCACAAAAATATTTATGCCACCTTCTAAGTGATAGGATTTCTTTTTTTATGATAAATTTTATGAAATTATTATTATGAAAATATTTAACACAAAATATTATTTTTTTTTTACTTCCAATAAACTATTATTTTTTTTAAAAGTGAAATTTTTTTCTGATTTTTTTTTGGCTTTTTCAGAGGTATCCTCGCGTAACAAGTTCCATACAAAGTCGCCCAGAGTATAGAGCTGGGAGAAAAAAATTTTAAAGCATTGTTATAAAAGCCTAACGGTATATTTGCTTAATACATTTTAATTAATAGATATTGAACTTGCATTAACGCTTATAACGGTGAAAAAATATTTTCCCAATATGGTATTATAAGGCTGTGAAATATGCAAAAACACGCGTTTTTGGGACCTTTGAGTGTGCGTAGAAGCTGATTGGCTATTGATATTAACAAATCCAAAAACTTATATTCTTATTTTGACTAGTAGAAGTGAAAAATTAGAAAAAATCAACTTAAACATTTTTTTGTCGCACAGTGTAATCTTAATTTAAATCGGACCGATATAGCATGGAGCTGCCATAATTTAATTAAAATTGAACATAGTTCTCTTTGATCATACAAGAGTAATTCTAAGCTCTTGAAATACAAAAAAAAAAAAAAAAACCATACAAATTTGGCGACTATATTGCTGTCAAAGGATCAATAAAGTATATAAATCGAAAGTATATAACATTTTTCAGGTAAATGGAATGCATTCTTTTCAGAAGCGTTTTAGAAGCATTCATAAACCCCTCAGTCATTTGTCTATTTTAGAGTAAATAAACTTAAGCCTTTTGAAGTAGTTAAGGGGCACAACTAGTGTGACGGCCTAAAAAAATGGTGATGTTTGGGAATTTTTATAAAAAAAACTACTTGATCAATTCTTTTCAAATTTTCAGAATATATTTATACATGTTTTAAGAATGTATAGTAAAATTTTTAAAGAAAAAAGTTAAATATTTTTTAAGTTATAGTCGATCTCCAACGGCGCTAAAAAAAAAAGTGCCTCAACTGCTGCAGTGATTCCGGCCCTCTCCGTGGACGAAATCAAAAAATGAAAAATTCTCGTGAAACTAGATAATATTTTCCATACCATGAACTACGATAAAAAAAAATATCAAAAAATGACAAAATGGCAGCGTTTTAAAAAAAAAAATCGAATTTTAACCAAAATTTTGGTCGTTTTTGGCCTGCCAAAATTCGATTTTTGATCGGATCAAAAAACCGATAGTTCATGGTACGTAGAACTATATAAAGAACATGTAAAAAAAATTTGGTAGTGATCGGATCACAAGTTTTTGAGTTATCACTGCAGCAAATTTGGAAAATGCTGTTTCGAGAAAAACGCGTTTAAAGATAAAATGATCGTTTGCACTGCTATGAGAGCGGCTGCTCTTAAAATTGTTATAACTCAAAAACTATTTGAGATATCGATTTTAAATTTTAATATGTTATTTTAAAAGGTGTAATCTACCGAAATATGAAAAAAAAAATTTTTTGATTTTTTTAAAACTTCACACTAGTTGTGCCCCTTAAGAAATTCGATGATTAAGTTATAAAGGCAAAATCATAATTTCCTGTAATTGAGGTTTAACCACACCAGCAATGAGAGTTAGCGATGAGCAAGGAGAAAATATTTAATATCACGTAAATTTTCCTTTTCAATGTTTAGATAGAAAAAAGAATTTATCTTTCACTCAACTTTCACAGCAATTTGAAATAAACTTATAGGTTATGGGTAATAAGAGCTTTTTACCTTAACCAAGTAAGTTCTGCAAAGAAACTACTTGGTAACGGATATTATATGACAAAGGCAGCCACAGATATCTGAATGCCACAAGTTGGTTTTCAACTTGTTGACGATTTACCATTTTAATTTCAATGGGAGTGAAAAAGGTGGACAGAAACATTCATATGTAGGGGAGATGTGGGGGTTGTGGGCATAGTTTTGTTTTTGGCTTATAATTACCGAACTAGTGCATATTATTTGGACATATGGGTATCTGTGTAAAGCTAGAGACCTAAGCTAACTAATTATGAAGAAACATACTTGATTTTGTCATGCGAAAAAATTTCATATGGACTTTTGTAAAATCGTAATTTTCAGCTAAAATTTTTTTTTGGGGGGTTGTGGGCACCCTGGGAAAAAATGCTGCAAATGGAATAATATCGAAAAAAACCGCAACCAATATCAACAAAATGACAATTTATTTATTTCAAAGACAACATAGGCGTTATTCATCGTCGGAAACACAATTTTGACATGTATAATGACTGCCCCGCATGTCCACACATTTCGGATGAAAAGCTCGATCGCAGATGTCACAATTGATGGAGTTGGCTGGGGTCAATCCCCTTTCAGCGGGAGAGGATCCTTTTCAAAGAGCCTAAGATTTCTACAAGAATGTTCTAGAGGGTTCCAAACAAATTTTGAAAACAATTTTACAAGAAATTGTAGGTAATAAAAAAATTTGCCAAAAAAAAACGGGTGCCCACAACCCACCCAATTTTGGTGCCCACAACCAACTTTCGCAGACATTTTAAGAAGTAATTAAAAAATGTGTTTGCATAAATTTTTGGGTTCAAATCGATATTGTTCCATTTAGTATAATGCTTTGACTAAATAAAAATGCATTACACTTACCTTTTTAATCGATTCACTTTGATTGATACACTATTGAAAATCTTTGAATAAAGTTTCACCACCTTTTCCAAGCACAAAAAAAACCAATTCGTTCATTTCAAAAACCAAACGCGTTCGTTTACTTGGATATTTGTCATAAATCATACATAGGGTTATTGCTTGCGAATGACATTACCAACAAAAGTCAATCTTCATTTTGTGAAAATATACGTAGGGGTGCCCACAACCGACCCATGCCCACAACCCCCACTTCTCCCCTACTTATATATATAAAAGTCTTCTTGTGTGAAAGGCGTACATGTGTAAATCGACGACTCTGACATATTGATTTAACAAACAGAAATGAACACTAATGAAAAACAAGAATCGAAGCTATAGCTTCGGCTTGCCGAAGCTTTAATACCCTTGCAGTCATCAAATATGGCGAACAAAATACATAAAGCCTAATCAACATCGAAGCTGTGTCGATTTTTACATGTATTATGTTTCTTTATTTTCAGTTACAGCCATACGTTATAGTCGTCCGATTTTTATGAAATTTAAATCGAAATTCAAGAGTTGTTAGTTAACTCTATATTCCAAAAATCATGCTTGTCTGATGAAAAACAACGATGTTATCATATTTTTTCCGTTAATTCTGTACAGATTTTTCGATCTTTCCTTTTCATTTTTGTTTTAATTTACTGCTTTTGTTTCGACAGTTCCTAAAGATGTTGTATGACATAGTCATCGAATATTTCTAAAACTTAATTCGGAATTTAATGTATTTGGCCTTTCCAAAATATAAGATTAAGTTTTATCAAGAAAGCTTTAAAATTGAGAGACGAGTTTGGATATCACTGATTCTCTTATATCTGACATTATAGTAATCACTTTGCGGAACAAAGTATATTTAAGGTCGACTTTGACTAGGATCAAATAACGTTCACTACATAGAAAGTTCTCTACCAAATGGAGTTCCATTATGCAACAGCTCTGAAATAGAAGTTTTACTGAATAAAACTGTAATTTCTCACTCAGCAAATGAATCCTCATTTAAATTGAAGTTTGTATTGTGTTTGTATTTACCCACAAGCAAATATTATACAATTTTTCTGGTATGTATCCCGGACGAGCAGAAGGCTCTTGCTGCCTATACTCTTACCTCCCAGTGAGCCCATAGATTCAATTTTTATGTTGGCTTCATGCTACTAAACAAAAAGAACAAATCTTCATAACTTTTTGGCTTTTAATACTATTACTTTGGAAAGCTTATCTTTATCGTTTTATATTTTTTCTTGTAGATTTAAATGGAGGATTGGAAGAATAAAATTACTGTGTAAAATATGAAACCGCTAAACGAGACATTGATATTTGCGTGGAACAAAACTCAGCTGAAAATGAATAAGCTAAAATTCTTAAAAGTGATTGACTTAGAAGCAAGTACGAAAGTATAAAATTCAAATGTAAACCATATTTAAATCCAGCCAGATTTAAATCGTGTCCTTATATCCTAACAACCAATTAAATGCATTTTACAGGAATGAACCTCGGGGGTGAAATAATCTCACTTTTCTAAATCCAAACCACCATTAATTATGGGATGCAAAAATATTGTTGTCCAGACGGATTAGTGCCAATTACGTGCGTTGAACATTTTATATTTTCCATTTCATCCAATTAATCCCAATCACTCCACCATATGCAGAGGTACTCTTCCACATCTGCTAAAAATACTTCAAAGCGCACTCAGACATTTGCCTGGTAAAAATGTTGAATGTGGGCGAAACTGATTCAGTGATTGGTAATAATTCATTGTGAAATGAGTGTAGTAAATGGTGATTGAATTACACCGTCAGCGCGGATTCATAATTTGATAATGGCGAGATAGCTCACAGTTTTTGACATGTGCCAAATGAACGTTAATGCAGTGGGAAACAAATTTCTGCATTATATATTTTATATTTTTTGAATATTTAACCTGCTGGACGTCGTGTCATTCAAAGTATCACTATTTGTTCAAGAGTACAGGCTTTAATAAATTTGAGAGAAATAAAAGTGTATTTATATGCTTATATAAAATGAAATGTAGGTACATATATAGTATTTATCACACGCACTAAATTTAATTTCCGCAAATATAGCATTTTATTTTGATTTAAAAATGGTTTAAAAACTATGTACTTTACTGTCGAACTATTTGTGCATTTCATGTGTTTTTTCTCTAACAGACTTGCGTAATTAGAATGGCCGTCAGTTGAACGGAAGCTTATTTTTAAGGCAGAATGGAAATTAATATTCATGTCACACGCTGCTGTGAAATGATGCCACAAGGATATGGGAATCTGTGCATATACGAGTATGTGGTTTTCCCTTATTTTAGGTATAAGAAAGTATAACAGAATACGATTTAGGTTATGACTTAGACTTCTTCTGCTTTAAACACTTTCATTTTAAATCCTTCAGTTACCTAGCTATTTGGGAAGGCTTGGCTGTTTTGAGTGCAGCAGTTTCATTTTGGATTTATTGATGACCCCACTTACACACCAGCTTAAGCACCATGTTTAGTTTTCTTTGCAGCAATATTTTACTTTTATGCTCTCAAGTGGAAAAATACACATTGAACTGGGTATATCACAGTCGGCTGTAAAACTTTTAAATGGATTTCCGGACTGACTTTGGTTTGCGAAATTAAAGTCAGTGTCAGTCGAACGGAAGCTAATTTTCAAGACCGATGTGATGCTGTCAAATGGATGCAGAAGGAAAATGCATTTTATTAAAAATAAGCTGGTTGATTATTTTTGCTGTACAATTGTAATCAGAGTCCCGGTCTCTTTAATTTGAAATGTCAATGTCTTCAAGCACCTATCTTCCCCGACAATTCTCAAAAAAAGATTTGTAGGTGTTACCCGTTTGGTAGTTGATGATTGTTTGCAAATAATTATCTGTGGTGCCGAAAGTATAAATAAACATTGGGGGATAAAGAAATGTGCGAGACTCTGTGTGTTTTTTTTTTGTAATTTAATTTAATTTACATTAAAAAATATAATTTGTAAATAATGAAATATAATCAATAATTCATCAAGGTGTTCAGATGTTTGGCTGTTGTTTTGAATCGTTGATCTGAATTATTTGTAGCAGTTGAGTCTGAGTTGAGTCTGAGTTTGATTTTGATTTTGAGTTGTTTTAAAGTTGTTGCTGTTGTTGTTTATTGACTTCATTTCTGATTAAATCCATTGTGGACACATATATATGGCGAGATATATACATGCATATATATTTGTAGATATATATATTAATAGATTTATATAAATTGTATTGCTTCAGATAATTGTTTTAAATAATTTCAATTATTGTTTAGGGCGGGAGTCACGGGTCAGTGGACACTAGTGGACGTGTGGACACTTAAGCTTCGGCCTCAACCTCCTCCTTCACCTTGGCATCTCCGGGCTTGCCCTTGGACCAGTCGGGTTTCTTCTGCTCGTCCGGATCGGGGATTGCGGGTGGACATCGTGACGGAATAGTGAAGAGAAAACAGAACAGCATTAGTGAGATGATCGCAACGAATGGCCACATACAACATCTGGATGCTCGGTGCCGACACTAAAAACTACAAGGTGATCTACATGTACAAGTGACGTGTGCTCCAAAAAAAAAAAAAAAATGATCTGGCTTGATGGTAAATTTGATCTAATTTAATCATTTTTACTCTTTGCTGTTGATACAGCAATAAGGATTAAACCAATTTGTGGGATCAAATTCACCTCGTCCGTATCAAATGGAACAATGGTTTCGCTTTTTGTGTGTGTGATTTAGAGAGAAAGTGTGTCACTAGTAACTACTGACTATAGACAGCTAAAACGACAGATCAGTGTGCGACAAAAGATATAGAGAGAAAGATATAGAGCGGGTGCACTCAGGTGCTCACGTGCTCAGGACAAACAGAAGGATAAGAAGGGTCACACGCACACACTCAGGTTCTTACACTTTTTGGCTTTATTTAGCACAGCGGCATCTTTTATCTTTTTCTAAACGTCACAGAAGAGATAGAGATATACAGATCGGTGTAGTGTTCTGATCATCGTCGATTAGAGGCTTGATCTGATTATAGATTCCCTGGGAAGCCCCCCTCCCCCAAAAGGACGCCCACTTACCTCCTTCTCCTCCTCCTCCAGCGTGAACTCCTTCTTCTTCACCACCTTGAGTTGGTTGCGGAAGTTGAACTCAGCGGCCTTCTTCTGCAGCTTGGCGAATTTGTTTTCGTATTTGGAGACCTTCTTCAAGGCTGGCTTGACGCTATAAGAAACAAAGAAAGGGTCGATTAATAACCGATATCCGAGCGATAAGTGCGAGTGTACTTACAACTTGCCACGAAGATCGTTAACTTGGGCATTGAGATCGTTGATCTGTAGTGGTACCACGTCAGGTATTGGGAGAGTAGGGAAGAGAAAGGTTACGCGATTAGTACGAGTTTATCGACTACTGTCAATCGGTCTATCGACACATAGAGCTACAGCTACTGGCGGGCAACTATCAAAATCAAAATGCTGCAAGAAGAAGTTCTTTCTTTCGAAGAAGGGGTTTCATTGGGCATGCGATTGGAAACGGGAAACATGGGTTGCAGACATATAGAGCATACTCTACCATTGGCACTACCACCAAGTCGTAATGCTAAGTACTAGGTGCTAATACTAGGGCGTGCTGGCGTGCGTGGGTGAGTGCGATAGCGATAAGCGAGCGAGCGGGCGAGCCATACGAGCCAAGTTTTCAGCGGTCTAATCTGCCTAGTGGGAGCGAGACGAGGATAGTTGGTGGTTGCGGTTCGATTGGTTGGTGGTTCAATAGGTGGGCGCTTCTTTTTTCTAATGTTCAGCTCGCGCCTCTTCTTGATTGAACAGCATAACATCCAAATGTCGATTGCTTTTGCTTTAATGCTTTATTTGTAGTTTTATAGATAGTATTGTTCGTTTATACATATATACACTAGACAGAGACAGATTGTCAAAGTGATCAAGTGAGAGAGAGAGAGAGAGAGAGAAAGATAGTCGGAGTGAGTGAGACGGAACGAGCGACCTTGGCCTAACTACAACTGCATTGGAAATGGAACTGAAATTGAAACTTGAACCCATTCGGGCGACTGGGCTGAGGTACTGCTTAACGGTATCGTTATGGTAATCGTTATCGGAACGCTAATTACAGCCTCCTCTGCTTGCTCCCTTCGTTAATTTGTTTTGTGTTGCTTTTTCTGCTTTGATTTGCTTTCTTGTTTCTCTTTCTTTTGATTTGTTTGTTCGGCTGCGCACGCAGTTAACTTTTTATTTTTTGGCAATTTAGCGGGTTCGTGTAACGGTTAACGGTAATCGGTATCGGTAATCGGTATATCACGTTTAGTGGACTAGCATTAAGTGATACAATCGAAAAGTAATCGACGCTTGGCTTTGTATGCTTCTCAACTTGCAACTCAGATCTTCTAAGCTTTGCTTTTATTTGTTTTTTGTTACGGCCTTTCGCGGACAGGAGAGTAAAAGAAACACAAAAACAGAGAGACAGAGATAGAAAGAGAGAGAGACAGAGTTTGGGCAGGAGCAATGGAAACAATTTACACAAACATTATTTACAATGAAGTGCGGTGACTTGGTGGGCGGTGGACAGTAAAGGGCGTGGCTGCTCGGGATAGGATCTTGGCTGCTGCTTATCGGTCGTTTCGGTGTGTATTTCTGTTTTTTTTTTATTTATGTGCTGCTGCATGCAATTTGTTGCGTGCTTGCGTGCGTTGCGTTTCGTGTGAGCGTGACTGTACTTTTTTTTACTTGTGTCGTGTGCTTTTGTGCTAGTGTGCTTGAATGCTTTTGTGCTGCAAATTTTTGAATTGTAAGTGTGTTTGTGGACCGGACGCACAGACTGTGGTGCAGTTGAATTATGGCGGTAACGCGTCGACAGCGACACAAACAAATTTTTGGTTACAGTTAAGAAAAAAGAGAAATAACACACACAAAACAAAGTTCACAAATGGTGCAACAAACTAGTTATCTTGCTGTTGTTGTTGTTGTTGATGTTTTTGTGCAATTTACTAATACTACATTGCTGTTTCTTGTTGCTGTTTTATCGATTTGGTTGTTGTTCTTGTTGTCTAGGGTGTAGTGTGACTGATGAGCATACTTGGATTGCCAGTTTGATTTGATTTTTTTTTCAGAAAGGAAGTGAGGAGGTGCCGTGCGACATGTTTGTTCGTGTACTGATTAGCGGACTTAACCTCACTGTTTGTTCGGACATAACCTCACTGGACATCACGCTTTGAGTTGAATAGATATGTATCTCTATTGGTTTGATAACGATTTATTGGTCTGGTTGGCAATCCTTGCGTTGTCAGCTGCTTCGTGTTTCCGTCTTAAGTTTTGGAGTTAAACGTAAGTAACAACGGCATTAGGAACTCGAAATCGAAATTGAAATCGAACAGGGAGTAGTACGAATAAATAGTCACAGTTGTGTGCCCCAAGCCACGCCCACATATATGCTTCTGTATATATATACGGGCAGGAGGGGCACTGTTGGTTGTCTTGTTTTGTGAAACAGTCAAGTAAAACAGATACAAACTAAGAGACATATTTTTGAGATGCGCATTCAACAAGTAAGAAAGAAACAACGGAACTGAACGGAACGGAAACGAACATGATACTAGAACTCAAATGAATACTTTAGATAATCAATTCAGATTTTAGTTTTGATACAATTTTGTTGCATTCTGTCTTGGGTGAGTTGGTTTTATTATTTTTTGTTTGGTTGGTTGTTCTTTTGTATTCAGAGTTTTGACATTGATTGATTGATTGAGAACGATTTGAAATTTTAATTGAAATATTTGCAGTACCTCCCAGTCTTTTTTCCTGACTTCGTATTCCAGATCCCATTTCTGGCCTTCACAAATATACATACGCTCGTAATACTCTTCGCAAATCTCTTGCAATTCGCCTGCAAAAATATTTTATTTTTCGGGATTTTGTTTTGGATTGGCTCAAACTTTTAATAGACGTTCGACGTTTGGTAAAGTTCTAAATCTAAATATGACTAAAAATAGTTATGATCGGATTTACTGTTTATAGAGTTTTCTTTTTGTTTATCGCAATAATGGTAATCGATATCTTATCGTTTGTTGTTTTGCAGCTTCATTAGATGTTATGTGTTCGATGAGTTTTCATTTTTCGATTTTTTTGGCTTGGTTTTTAAACTGTTTCTCTTTTGGAACGGAACGGAACAAATCGGAACGGAACAAAACGAAACGGAAGCGATCGTTACGGTTTACGTTATTGGCTTATTGGGTACGCGTGATTTCCATGGGCTTCTCGTTTAGCTGAGACTTATTATTTGGGGTTGACAATTAATGAAAGTAGATCCATATCGATTTTCCTACAAGCTTCCACTCCGGCGGACCGAAGACCTTGCTTGGGGGTTTAGCGGGGGAAGACGGTTCCCGGATCCGGACGGATAGACTATATACACGGGCGGACCGGAAACTATTTCCCCCCAAATCCGGACTGTTTGAAGCACGCGACGATGCGAGAAGATCTCTCTGATTTGATTTGTTCTGTAGTTTAGCGCAGTTAAAACAATATCAAAATTAGGTAAAGGAACAGAAGTATCGCAGTAAAAAACTAAAAATATGATTAGGAAATATTTAGAAATGAAATCAAGTAATTAAATCAAGGGCATAATTGTAAAATAGAGTTATTATTAATAATCGATTTATATATATGTAAATATCTTATATTTTTTCATTGGCTTGATAAGAAAAAACATTCGGTTTGTATTTTTTTTATTTGTGTTTCTTTTTTTTTGGGTGCATGGAAAAACTTTGTAAATCTTTGGGGAATTTACCTCTTGGGCCTTGACTTTCTGCACGTGTTCTAAATCAAACTTATCGCCCTCCAAATTGTAAACGCGTTGCCAATATTGTTTGCATATTGTTTGCAGTTCGGCTGCGGTAAACGGTAACGGTATCGGTAGCGGTAATAGTAGCGGTAACAGTAGCGGTTACGAAACGGTAAGCGTTCGACGTTTTTAAGAAGACGTATCGATAGAGTTCGTTTTGTATGCGTGTCGTTGTGGATTTGTTGGTGTTGGTATTGGTGTTTGTTTGATTGTATGTGTGCGTGGGGGATACGGATCAAAGAATAGAGATAGAGTAAAGAGTAAAAGATTTTGGGAAGGCAGAAAGATAAATAGAGAGAGAGAGATAGACAGTGGGGAAGAGAGAAGGAATGACATGAAAGAAGAGACAGTGACAGATTAAGTTAAGATTTAGTTTAAGATATAGAAATAAATATAGACAGAAAGAGATAGAGAGAGATTAAAAGATAGAGACGACGACAACGACGCATTGTTTGTTTCGATTTCAGTTTGTTTGTTCGTTTTTGGTTTGTTTGATTGTTCGATTGATTGGTTGGCGCGTTTTCGAAAAAAAGAAGGATTAGATTAAGATTTGATTAATATAAAGTTATAGATTGAACTCGAGCTTTATCACCTACAAATGCTCTAAATGTAAGACAGTGTTGTGTATTCGATTCTTGGTGCAACATGAAGTGTCTGTAAGAGTGTCAGTGTCATCTGTTGTTTTCTTGTGCGTGACTGTACTTCTGTGATGACTGTACTTCGGTGGCCTAAGCTCTGGTCACACTAGGAGTAAGCTTCACTTCCCTACCCCAAACTATTTCATTTGTTCTTGACATGTTCTTTCATTTTCGTGGATTAGTAGAAGCTTTCACAAAAATACAAAAATAGTACAAGTGTTTTTCGCTACAATAAAAAGCCAAAAACTTGTAGCACAAAAAGCTAATAGCCAAAGCCGCAAAAAGCAAAAACGCACAAATATGGTGACATCAAAAATAGGTATTGTCAGCACTTGGTGCACTCGGCTTGGGTTGTTAGTACGTGAAGGCAGCGTGGTTATTGTCGATCGTCCCTTAATTTTGGGTCTGATCTAGAGGCTCTTAAGTTACGGGTTAGCTGCATTGACTAGGGCTCTACTTTCTATATGGTATATACGAGTTTACGGTGACCGAAACACCTCGATAGTTTTTTTGTGGGGGGTCTCGTTTGCACAGCTCTCTCCCAAAAAGTAATCGAAGACTCGAAAAAATACGTGGTGTTAACTACGGCTTCTACATGGGCTTGGGTTTGGTTTGCTTTGTCCGCCGGACACACACACTAGTGTATTTATAGCTCCGAAATATTTGTATATATCTTTGGGCTGGTTGTGCTGCTGCCGCGGCTAGTGAAGTAAGTCTGTATATATAGAGTTATCGACAAGTTCTACGATCTGCGAGAGATTGAAACTATTGGAAACCGGAGCTGCTTGCCTCAAAATCCTTTCTGGCTACCTCGTGCTCGAGATCGTACTTTTCGGACTCCAGTTTGAGTATCTTACTGTGGTAGTCTTTGCAAACACTCTGAATAGTATCTGCGGAACGAAGTGTGGTTATCAAAACGGTTCGATCTGGATCGGTGTTTGGGTGTGTGTTTGAAATTTTTTTTTCGTGTGGGAGTGATTGTGTGTTTGTGTGGAGCTAACTACTCGAGGAATGAAGCCTATCCATTCTCCTTTGGAGGAACATATAGAAAGAAAGTTGACCTGCGTTAATCGGGTGAGTATACGGTGCTGTTGAGCCATTGATTTTCTGTACAGTTTTAGTGCCTGGGCAAGTAACACTTTTCACGAACATACAGAGAGTGTATTATACAGTAAACAGAGTTGAGAGTGAGACGGTGTTTAGATATATAGAAAGAGACAGCTGACAGAAGGTGTTTTATTGTATTTGTTAGGCGTTAACTTTTGATTTTGATCGAGGAAAGACTTAGGCGAATTTAGGTGGCGTATAAAAAGTTGGTGGTGTTCGTGTACCTCAACATCCTTGCGTTTAACAACATACTCAAGATCATATTTCTGGTCCTCCAATTTATTAATCCTGTCATAGTGTTGCTTGATCAGAGATTTGAGTGTGTCTGTTCACAATGGGGTTTTTTCGGAGTTGGAATGGGGTGTAGGTGTTGGTGGTGGTGGTGGTGGTGTTGGAGTTGGAGTTGTGGAGTGGGTGTGTGTGTGTGTGGATCGATAGGGTTTTTATCGGACATGGGATCGGCAAAAGAGAGATAGAGATAGAGACACATTTAGATACATGTTGCACACAGTGGTTCAGGCGTTATTTGACTATGGTTCCTCTGCGACGTCGAGATCCGATTTGGGAAGTCGGTTATCCTGCGTGTGTGTGTGTGCGTGTGTGTGGTGTTTGTGCACTTTATGGCAGTGTTGTGGTGTGTGTACTAGTGTTGGTATGTGTGTATGTATGTATGCGATAGATGACACATGTTCAACTTTCAGTTATCGATTTTTGTTTATGCTTCTCGACAGGTGAATCGCTATGATGCACCTGCCCGGTTTACTGCTTGATTTCGTTTATTTCGATTATACGTTTATTCATATTTTATGCTTGTGCCCGGTGCAGGTGCAAGGGAGCCCCAAGGGACTTCCCCAACCCTCCGGGATCTTGACCGCTCGATTCGAGGACCGAGTCCACTCACCTTCGCTGGCATCGCTGAGATTCCTGGGACTGCCGCAACGTTCTTCGATGATGCGTCTACGTTCAGCCGCTTTGCGTTCCTGTTCTTTCTTCAGCTCCTCGGCGGCTTTCTTACGCAGCAGCAACTGTAAACGGGGAAAGGAATTGTCACTCGGTTAGTCAAAAGATTGGCACAAGTCACATGGGAAAAGGAAACCGATACATACACAATTATCGTTTGTTTTCTGATTCGGATAAACCTTATTTCTTCAAACATATCGGTTTCATTTCCTTGAAATGGGTGAAAACCCATTTGAAACTGCAAACTTACCCTGAGTTTCTTCTTCCTTTCTGGGGTCATGAAACCCTTCTTGGCCTTCTTGGCCTTGGAGGCTTCCTCCATGCGCTTGCGCACCTCAGCACGCTTGCGCTCGATCTCAGCCTGTTTAGCCTTCTTAGCCTGCAAATCAAACACACAATCCGGAGGTCAGCATTGTCAAACCATATCCGCAACTGGACACCACACCATATGTTATATATTTTCGATCACAGCACAGAACTTGGACGCGAAACGGAAACGGAACATGGACGTAGATGTGGACGTGGACGTGGACGTGGAGTTAACGGGCACACACGTACACAAGTGTACCTCCTCGGCCTTCACTTTGGGATCGTTGGGATCCTTGGGCGGGCCGGCGGGCGCGGCGGCGGCAGCTGCAGGCGCCTTGCCATTGGCCGCCGGGGCCGCTCCCGGCTTGGCCGCCGCTGCCGCTGCTGCCGGTGCCGGTGCCGCCGGTTTGGCCGCCGCTGCCGGAGCCGCTGCGGCCGGAGCTGCTGCCTTTTTCTGAAATAAGCGAAAGTAACAGGTTCATTAGTTAGGCAGGATTCGTCGGAAGAGAGGTTCGTATGCCCTGGAGAAAGTTGACAGAAGTTCAAGAGCTTCGCTATCTTTATTTGTCATTCCACTGCTTTGCAAAAAAAAATGTTCTTCATGATTGCAATTCTCACTTTAAATAAGTTTACTATTCATAAATGATTATATAATGCATGTGAACTGTTGTTGCTGTTTCATTGTCCTTATAAAGTCCACTATATTAAAACCGCACTAAATCATTATCATTTAAAGCAAAGTAATATATGCAATCGGGCTTAGAAGCAAAGGGCAATCAAATCTTATCATCAATTATTGATTCATTTTGTTGCCGACGACTTTCTCCAAGCACAAAACGAACCGATCACAATCAGGGACAGCGAAAAGCACAGAGACATAGACACACACTAACGATAACGATAACAGACATAGCTTTCGATTTCGACTTGACAGTTATCATTATCTGTGCTCCTTAAGCGAAAGGAGGAGAGTGGCTGGGATTCTGGGGATGCAGACCGCAGCGATCCTGTGAAAGCAAGAGAAAGGCGTTTGGCTTGGGTGGCGTGGCTCGAAATTGGGGGCATCAGCAGGCGGTGGTGCAACTCTGGGCAACTCGGCTTACCTTTAGCCACATCCAGTCGGGGTGCATCCCGTCCGAATCGCTTCCATTTCCGGTGACAGTGCATGCGAATCGTTCCCAAAAACAGTTAACTGCGGAAGGGGGTTAAAGGTTAATCCACCATAGGTCAAAGGGGATAACGGAGGCCATTGGCGATACTCACCTCACCTCATCATCAGCCATTTTGATTTGTGTTGTTGGTTACTGAAAGGAGAAGAAATCGAGAGGTGAACTCAAGAACTGGAACTGGAGGCGGATGCTGAATGGCGAACGGTGGATGGTGAATGGAAATGTTCGATGACATCATTCCAATTGCCCTATATATACACGGCTATAGGTATAGCCGCCGATTCTAGTATATGTGTGTGTGTGTGTGTGCGTATAAACACATATATATGCATGTACTCCATAAATCAGTCACTCTCTCTCTCTCTCTCTCTCTCCCATTCGCACCCGCCTACGATCTCGTCGAGGAACCCACAGTGCGTATGCGCAATGAAGCTGGCGAATGCCGAAAATTACGTATACGCAGCGTTGGTCCATGCCGTATATGGGGGGCAACCCCAGGCACACTCTCTCTCCGATCGCTTTTCTTTCGCACATTTACTTTGGCGTGGGCGTCTGCCTGCCAGAAAAAGACCACAGCATTTCTATATCTTTTCGGGCTGCCTCTCTTCGATATCCGATTTCAAGTGAGTGCCAAGGAATCGGACAAAGAGAGAGTGGCTAGCACCTCCCCACTAAACGATCTCGGCCAGCTGATCTTGTTAATGGAAAGTTTCCTACAATATGTTTTCTAAGATCAACGTTAAGCCCTTAACATTACAGGAATTAACCCAATTATACTTGTACTGATGGTTCTACTTGATTTATAGCTGGTTATATCGAGGTTTTTGGTGGCTAACAAGACTTTAAGATAAACATATATGTTCAAAAGTGCAATTATTTGATATAACCTTTTTTAAGTTGTTTAAATTTAAAGTTAAATAATAAATTTTGATGATTAAATGATTTCAACAATGTGATGTCAAATTTGAATGAGAAAACTTTTCGAACTCCAGATTCCCCTATAAAGAATGCATAGGTTTCCTTAAATTTTTGTAGATTATATCTCAATTTAAAAGTGTTCGTTTAGTAATTTAACAAATGCATTGAAAGTACATTTTTGGAATAACTTGAAATTTGTTTATAAGAAATGCATAACCATATAGGACTAATTGCCTGATTTCCGGAACTTCTAAAAACATATACATATTTTCAGGGAAACGCAGGTACACAGAAGTTACGAAATAACGCAGAAATAGTGGCCCCCATATCGTTCTTCCCACTGCGAAAACCATATGGTTCGATAAATCGAAAATCTTGGGGCTAGGCGTATATTTAGCCTTAGGAATTTGAGTTGTCTTCGCGCACCTTTGCGAAGGTAAGGCGTGAAAATGTTCTGACAATGACGACCTTCGGATACATACACACACTGAGAGAAATACAGTACAAAATCAAGCATAGCCAAAGTCTCCATTTAGCATAGATCGCAGAGGAAGTGCGAACGAGATGGCTTCTATTGGATCTAGTATCGGTCTGATTTAAAAATAAACCTGTTGATAGATACACGAATTTCGGATGCGAGAAATATGGCAGCTATTTATGATCCGCCGTAGAATCTGTTTATACATATGTTCACGGAAAAAAATAAAATTGGAACAGCGAATCGAATGTTAAGTCCAAAAGTTCGGAGAGACTTATCCAGATTTTGTATATTCAATATGTGCGTTAATTTCTCTGTATTGGTATTGTGTTTGTGATTGTGTGTGTGTGTGTTTGTGTGTGAGCTTTGTAGGTGTGTTGGTTTCTCTCTCGGGATTTCTTGATCTCGCTTCGTTCTATTTTCAGGCACTTTCTGAATGTTTTCAGCTTTTTCGAAATGTATCTCGTATCTGTGGGATACATTTTTAGCTTGCTACACGCACACACACGCACAAACGCACACACACACTGCAGCTTCTTACATAACTGGCAAGCCAATACATGAAAAAAAAATTGTTCAAAAAAATCAAGTCAAGTCAAAATAATATCGAAGAGTTTCGTTTCGTTGCTTTGGTAAACACTTGTTAACTTGCATCACTTCAAAAAAATAGGAAAAAAATAGTTGAAAAAAAAAAAAAACAAATAGAATCCTCTGGGCACACGCACGCGATTTAGGTCAGGTCCAGATATATGTATATAGAGCGCAGGAGCAAGGATTGAGACACACTTGTTTTTCTTAGCATTTGCATTTGCATTTTCAGTTTGCAGATTGCAGTTTTCTGTTTTTCCATTTCGGCTGTTCTTGCATTGTTATTTTTTGTTGTCGACGATGTTTTCTTGGTTTTTGGACGTTGCTCCGCTTCAAGCACTCACCTTCAAGGAATTAGAAAAAAAGAAAAAAATTCGGCTGTGCTGTCGATCACACGAATCGGATGATACTGAACGACACAAAAAGACTGAACGGTCCGACGATCCACGGCAGACTATATTCTAGCGGCCAGCCACCCAACGGATACAGATTCGGATCGTGGATCGTGAATCGTGAATCGTTTATCGTTCCGTTCGGAAAGCTAACAAACCGCCCACCTGCCCACCGTCCTTCGCTAACGGGCGAGAGCGAGAGAGAGCGAGAGTGGCTCGGGGGCCGGGGTTATGTATCTGGGCGTGAGGTCCAAAAATAGCCCCCCAAACGGACGGAGCTCAAAATCGAAATGGATACCGAAAAGCGTTCGGCCGCCGGCGAGCGTTTCCGATCGCAGCCGAACCGTCAGACCGCCGTACCGCCTCCGGATCCCGAAGCTCCCCCTCCGAACTGCAGCCCGTTGGCTCCCATGGTGTCCGCTTGGAGAATCTCCGAATGGCTGAATCGCTAGATCGCTAGATGGCTAGATCGCCGGATCGCCGGATCGCCCGAGATCCGTATCTGCAGTCCGTGTGTGCTGGTGCTGGTGTAAACGGAGCCGCTTGGAATTCAATGCAATGGATAAAAATAGGCTTTGCTCCAGTTGGGAGGCAGCGCGGCGGCAGTGCAGTCGATCCGAGAGCCAAGAGGCCAGGGGCGGCGAGTTCCCTGCAGCCGGCCTCGGGTTTCGCCAGCCCTGACCAACAGGCCCAAACAATCCGAAAACATATCGCTAATTACTAGGGGGTCCGAATGAACTACACCCTAACGCACAAAGGCCACCCATAATACGAAATCGTTTAACTTTCAACTAACATTTACTCTGCTGAGTGAAAATACAATATATATTCATTTCCTTGGACCGCCGTTGAAAAACATAAAATTAAACAAGAAAATAAATTTAAAATAAACGGACTGCCCTTTCATAAAATGATGTGTCAAATTTAGTTAAGCTTTTGACCTCCCAAACCTAAAACTTTTTATACATAAAGCATAGAAAGCATAGAAAGCATTCTTAAGATTCCCAATTAGTTCAAGCAATTTAAGGTGAACAGTGCCAATATATCAAAGGGTTATGTGGGGATTCCCCTATAAAACTCATGACATTTTTAGTGCGCTTTCAACCGATAAGATATATTTAAAATTATAAATACAAAATAAAAAGAAAACAAAATATTTATTGGTAAAATTTTGTTTACCAATTTAATTATCAGTTGTACTTTGCATTATAAGTCCATTGTTAAACGGCTTTCTTGATTATAAAATATTTCCAGCAATAAATTTTCCTTTATACCTTTAATTTATTTATTGTACATTAACGCCACACTTTTTTGTTTTTTATCTCCTCAGTTATTTAAACTTTAAGTCTTAAGACTTTCTCCAAGTTTATGCATTCATAGTTTTCCATTTGTTATTAATTTATTATTTATTATTATTATTTATTTATTATTATTATTTGTATTGATCCCCTCTTGAATCAACAAATAGTTGAGCTATTTGTTTAATTGTACGCTGACATAACTATAAACTTTGGCATAGTGAATTCCTGCCGAACTCGAACGTACATATAGACTATATCTGTCTTGTTAATATCAATGTTTTAGCTGAATTACTTTGGCATCGTCAATCTAAATATAATGTATGTATGGAATATGCCCAAATACACACATATATATATTCTATATATATATACCATAATGGTAAACTCTGCGAATGACGCTGCAGCACACCTACAGAAGCCCACAAAATAAAAAATCACGCATACGCCCCGTATACAAAATGCCTTGCAACGTTTGTTAAAAGTAATTTTTAAATTTCGCCGAGAACGAATAAACGTTTCGATCACGAAACGGTGTCTATATATATATTTCGTATATGAATTTATATATACATAGACGCGCATATGTATTTTCCTACTCTATAAACTTTCTGCAGAAAAGAAAAAAGGCAAATAATGTTGCTTTTCCTTGCTCTTATTGTTGTTCTTGGTTGTTCTTTTTTTTCGTGAGGCTTGTTCTAGCTCTATTTCGAAATATGTTTTCGATGATTTCTATTTTGTTTTCCCCCATTTAAATTTAGAACTTGGCTTCCAGGGGGGAAAATGGAAAGGGGACTGCGGAAGGGCAGTGGGTTAGCTTGGGGGAAATGTTTTCTTTTGCGTTTTTGTTTTCGTAGGGAACTTGATCAGTTCGTCTATGTCTGGACGAATCTATTTTCGCCTTTATTTTTGTTCAAAGCATTCAAGACAATTTCGCTGCGCGGCCAAGCAATTTTTGTTTGAATTTATGATTTTCGAAAATGTTTTTCTTTGAAAACATCTTTTATATTGTGCTTTATTTTTGGGCCTTAGCTAACAGGAAATATAAGAGCGGGGGTGGTTGTTACGCTCGCAACTATAGTTATGCGATGAAAGCCAACTGGTGGAAGTGATAATAGTTATATTGTTATTGTAAATAAAAATAAAAATAAAATGTTACATACATATACATATATATGTTATATTACATATAAGAATATGAGCTGGTAAAGTTTTTAAAATAATTATCAGCAATATTGCAGCGCCAAAGAATATTTAAAATAAAAACAGTGAACAATTATTGAGCTGCCAAAAAGCGTTGCAATAATGTTGTTATTATTTCAAACAAAATAAATAAATCAAAATATTGGACTATTTTTAAACTAACCAGAAAAACGCTTGTAAAATTATTAAGAAATAAAATCAAATAAAAATTATTATATTTCTTAATTGCATATTTTAACCCATAGATCAAAATCCGTTTTCTTTGTTCTAGATTATTTTTAATTATGCTGAATCAAAATAGTAGTAAATGTGGTTCACGGGCTCCAATCAAATCTGCCTTGCGGTACTGGGCTTAATTTGGGGTTAAAGGCGGCCGTCGATGGTCAACTTCCTGCGAGTGCGTCAAAGCCAAACAAACGTCATAAGCCAGCTCTGAACCGCCTGAACTCGCCCCTCTCCACTCTCCCCTCTCCCCTCCCTCCCCCTTCCACCCCGCAGGCTCCCCCCGTTTTTCGCCACCCGTTCTGGGCTTGGCCTTGCAATGTTCGCTCTACCTGACAACTATTTGTCGCTGCTGTCGTCGTCGTCGTCGTCGTCGTCGTCGGCGAACTTCCCTCTTGTTGCTGGTGACCCATTTAGGGTTATATATACACAAACAGGCACTCGCATCCTCCACGGACTACGGGTATACTATATGCTCAATGCTCTGCCATTATGTATGTATGTACATATGTATGTATGTTTGTATATATGTATGTATGTATGTTCGAGTACGTATACGTATAGGACTGCCACTCACGGAAGCTGTCAGAAGTCTCGCTAACTCCAGCAGGTCCTGCGAAATGTTTAAACAACACTGCCCAACTTGGCCGCAAACTTTTCACAATTTTAATTAAATCAACTAAAGGGATTATAGTTTTAAATGCACTTTTCAAACAAATATTGGCTGCGAAACTCCAAGGCTTAACTACAATCACGAAAACATTTGCCGAGCACTTTAATATGATTGCAAATGGAAGTTTGTGTTTAGGCATTTAAATAGAAAGTCAAAATAAACATAAACAACTGGTCGAAGTTACAAGAAGTGCGTTTCAATAGAAAACTAGGATAACCAATTCCAATTATTTCAATTTTATAGCAATGTTTGCAAACAAATAAAGTATATACTCATTGATTCTTTAAAGTTCGAATTTGTTGTAACATTTTTGCTTACATTTTGATATCACTTTAATTAGGGAAATGCATTTGTTAAAATGTTCTTTGTACTCAAGTATTTAAAAATGTAAACATATGTGTTAAAGGATTAAAGAAAATTAGCTGAATAATTATTAACGTAGCAACAAATTTAACTCGTCTAAATTCGAGTTGTGGTACCTCGAACTCATTTTGTATTTAGGGTTAATAATTGTATCTTATTTTAATTCATTTTTTCTAAAAAAAAAAAAAAGAAGTCCGTTTCTGAAAAATGAAAACAATGATTTAAAAATGAATATATATTTTTATATTTATTTTAGAGGTATTTAGATTGACTTAGGCTTTAAAACCAGCTCAGACTTTTGTTTCTTATTTGGAACAAGACGGATTTTCCCTTCCCCGATAATTCGCTATATATAGGTGTCTATATTCATGCTGCTGCCGATGTTTTTTTCTCTCCATATTCCATATTCATGACGTGCAGCCACACGGACACAAATAAACAAGCATGCGTGTGCAGCGTATATTTGCACTAGTTTCGCCGCCAGTGACGTCATAGTTTCCCAGGGCAGACGTCATCGGAGGCAGCGAGGTCAGTCCATGCAACATGCAACATGATGCAGGAATATTATACGGATTCCATGTGCATGCGTTCGTGGAAGGGAAAATGGCGCCTAATTGATTGATGGTCCAATAAGCTGAGGTCAATCAGAGGCCCCGATTTCCCCAGCATTTTCCCAGAACTCCAACCATACACTATGGAAATATTTAAGATATTACTTTGATGAGAGAACATCGAAGTAACTGTGTCAGTTGAATGATTCAAGTTCAACTATTCTGAAAGAGAATTATTTTCCCTTATTTTCCTTGCATGTTAATATCTAATTAAATTTAGATCACATTTTAATCCAACCAGACACAGAAAAAAAAGCAAACGTTGTAGGTAAGCAAATAAGGTTTTCAAAATTGCCTGGCTCTTAAGCACTTTTCGTTTTCACCTAGTTTTAAATCTAAAACTTTGAATTTTAGAGCAATCAAATTTAATTTAAACTTAATTTGTATAACCTTTTATTCTGAGTGCATTGGTGGTCCGTCGGACGTCATTGGTCTTCATTAGCCAAGGAGCCTCCGCCGCCCGGCCTTTCCATCCGCCACGAAGGACATTCAGCGGAGCTGCACAGTTTTCCACATTTTCACCGAGCGGCAAACGAGGAAAGGCGAAAAGGGGAAAGGGGTGTGGCAAGGGGGGTTGGCTGGCTTTTCCATTCACTGCTGACGTTTGCCACGCCGTTCCTGCCTTGAAATCCTGCAGTTTTGTGAATGAAAATCTCCAGCGTCATCAATGGGCCGCCCACCCCGAGTCCTTTTGGCGGCGGCAGGTGGGCG